GACATTAGGGGTCTTGGAGACCCCTGATGTCTCCATAAAGAGGACCTGTCACATATTTTGCTATCACATAAGGGGGTTTTCTAACCCCCCTATGTGATAGCAATAAAGTTTCCCCCCCAAAAATGTAAAGTTACAAATAAAAAAGAATTACATTTTTTTTAAAGTCCCCCCCATACATACACGCATGCAAACAGGCATCGGGTGCGCATACGTGTGAAAACGACGATTTCGCCCATTACGCCGCACATGTTACATATCGCCGCGAACGTCGGAATGAGAGCAATAATTGTAGGGCTATCAATCACTGATAACACTAAACTGATGAGCGGTAAAAGCTTTTAAAGCGTCGCCTATATTCAATTTTGGGTATGGTAATTTTTTACAATTTTGCAGGTGCGCGCAATTTTAAAGCATGACATGTTTGGTGTCTATTTACCCGACGTGACCCCGCTTTTTATATTTTACCAAAAATATGGGTGATAAATGGGTGTGGTTACTGGGGGGTGTGGCCACTAAAGGGTGTGGCCACGGAGGGGTGTGGTCACTGAGGGGCGCTGTAAAGCTTTCTCGCACAGGGCGCCTAAAGGCCTAAGGCCGGCCCTGCCCAAGAGATATAGGAGTTCAATATTTAATTGAACCACGCAATGTTCAACCAAAACGGAAATATTTAAGTTGGGTAAGACATAGCCATTAAATAAGATTGAACACATAAAAAGTCAGCTGTGACGAATAACTCGCTCTTATGTTCCTGTACAACACACTTACTTGCCAATGAGCACACACAGTTGAAAGAAAGCCAGAAGCCAGAAACGCTTTTCCTTTATGACTAGGTCAGTGATGATGCTGCTGTGGATTGGTGTAAAGCAGCCGTCTGCCACATTAGACAGAGCTCTCATCACCAGGAAAATGGCAAAGTACTGAGGAAAAAACAGATAAGCACAATAAGTCACCAATACTGCTACTTGAGCTTGCTGGAGCCTGTAGTTCTACAACCCTTGAAAGCTAAAGGCATATGCTCCAGAGAATGACATTGGCCTTCAAACTAAATGTTTGCCCATGCTAACACTTTGAGTTGCCTTTAGTTATTTGTGCAGGAAATTCTTGGACCTGGGGTGCTCCAGTTTGGAGGAGTTCTGCCACACCTATCCCTCAGCATAAAGCTGTGATTCTCTTTGAGGGGAGGGGCTAACCTCTGACTTCAGAGTTTAGGGTTGTTATTAATTTATTGGGCGCCCTTTGCGCAGAGTTTCTTCTGCTTTTGACCACTTAGCTCAGTTTGAATTATTTGTAATATAATATCAGGTTTACATAAAATATCTTAGTAAGAAATAATTCAATTCAATTACAATTCAGAGCTCCAAATTCAGACACTTGCAACAATTTTGCAAAGATCAGCCTGGGTGGGGCCTTCTAGAGGAGATTATGATTATTAGAGGAGCTTGAAATGGAAGGTTTACACCTCTATGGAGAATTTTAGGAACATCAGCTGAACTAGGGGGTAGAGCACAGAGGACACCCGGCAGTACAGCTTTGAGAAAGAGGAAAGCTGACGATCCACCCAAGCTGGGGTTAATTATAGCAACCAATCAGCATTTATTCTTCATTCTTAAACTGTTAAAATATATGATTGGTTGCTATGGGTTACTACTACTATATAAGCCTAAGTGTGCAGATGGGTATAAGGCTTACCTGACTAGGCACATATGAGCTTGCCAGACTCGCTAGGATCTTTAGGATGATGCCACCACACATCATGGTCTTCCTACTGTAGTGATCGACCATAATGCTAAACAGTATAACTGACGCTATATAGCTGGCAGTACACACTAGAATGAGGGAAAAGAGACATTGTTTTCATTAAGACAGAACAGAACTATTTTTTTCTAAAACAAAAACAACACCTTAACCTTAAAATAATAATTCCGTTTTGGATGTCCACCTCTGGGTTGAATCATCTTCTTATATCTCTCCTTTGGTAAGACAGCCACATAGCAGTCTCTGCCCATACCCATGACCAAGGTGTCATCATTTGTTTAGCTTTCTTACTACGGTTGGAGGAATTGGTGATTATGGTGGACATGTCCCACTTAGGGGTAAGACACCAACTTCTAAACAAATGCACACCACTGGAACTACAATTCTTGCAGTGTTATAGCTTTTTTTAAAGCACAGCAGCGAACCAGAAAAACTCACATGACCCTTTTCGAGCAATGCAGAGTGCCACAGCGCGTAGACTTAAACTAAAATGGTGGCCTAGAAAATATTGTTCTATCTCCAACATGTATGGGATACCTAATATGTGTTACATAATAGGTGTTTAAGTAAGCATATCTAAACATGATTGGGTGGCTTTACAGCTGCCCGCATCACTCTTATAGAGAATTGATGCAAAACTCAGGGCCCCTTTACACCCACCAGGCCCCAGGCACTTGCCTAGGTCACCTAGTGGGTGATGTGCCCCTGCCAGCACTGCTCAATATTGTTCTACAGTGTGTGGTATTCTGGGCACAATATGTGTGATGAAGGAAATATTGCTGGGGCTTTACTTTGACTTACCCATTTTCATAATAAAATTCCTTTCAGGCATCGGATGAAAATCGGCCCTGATGAAAGGAAATGCTCCTGTAAGAAAGTGAAAACAGATTTTAGCTTCAGTATCCATTGAACTAATAATATAGGGACTTTAAGACAATGTAAATTATAATCAAGTATAAATGACATTTGTGATCTGTTTGCCTGCTGTAATAACACGCCTTTAGTACTACTTTAGGAAATTATAAAAGTGGCTGGAGTTTCACCTTAATGTTTAAATTAGCGGTGTTCTTCTTTAAACACTTATTTAAAGTGAACTTCTGCCAGCAAGAACCTGCATTCTGTTCATTTTATCACACAAATGAGCCCTTAATCCAAATAAAAGCATACTTACCCCTCACTATAAAGTTATTGAGGGCCTCCTGGATTTTGAAGACCATCAAGATTAACAGGAGAACAATGGTTTCCCTGTTAAAAATGCTTTGTTGAGGCTGTTCATGCTCCAGGGGCTGTGAATCAAGGTCCAGGCCTTTGTCCACAACATCCCTCTGGAGAGCTCTCTGGTATTTAGAAGCTTGTAAGGCCATGGGGTCTCACAAGGTAGAAAACCTGCAAAGAGATAAAAGTTACATATTACACATACAATCCACATTAATTATCTATCCAATCTGTACATCTCCATCCAATCACAAACTGGGTTAGATCTGCCCAACAAGGTTATTGTACTGACAATTGGAATGTAGAAGTCTCACATGGAGTGGTGACTGTGTACAATACACTTTATTGATGAGACTGACTATTTCTAATGATACAAATGGTTTCCAGGTGAGCAGTGATCCCCAAATCCAGCATTATTTTCCTATTACTGACATAGGAAATATTCCAAAATAGCAGAACATGGTATAAACACGTCAGATAACTCAACTGGCCCCAATACATGACTATAAAAGGGTCAATTAATTGGGCTTTACTTAAAGGAGAACTATGGGGTTAGGGCTTTTCCCCATAGTTCTCCTAAGGGTAACGGGAGGACACAAACTAGCCGTCACCGTAAGCTACAGCTCGCGGTATACTGAGACGCCACAGCTGAAATGGATCCCGACAATTATGTCTGGATCTGCCCAGCTGCGTGAGTGACACCTGGCTCTGCCTATCAGAGGCAGAGCCAGCTGTACCCGCTCCGTCCATTCCGCCAGTCAGCGCTGGAGGATCGGAACGGGGAATCCAGTCCCTCCCGTCACGGCAGAGAGCCGTGACAGGATCGAGAAGTGAGCGAACGCCGGTATGTGTTCGCTCACTTCCCGATCTACTGAGGCGACCTGTGACAGTTTCATTGTCACAGGTCGGCTAGAACTATGAGGGTGAGTGTAAATCACTCACCTCATAGTTCTCCTTTAAGGACCCTTATTCTGATGTTTTTAGCTTTGTGACCTAAGACTAAAGTTGTATAGGGTCACACTATACGCTCAGTTCAGAAAGCTTGAGGCCCCGTTCACATATAGCGAATTGTCGCGCGATTTCCGCCGCGATATCGCGCATTTTTGCCGCCGCGATATCGCGAGAAGTCGCCGGCCAATGCTATTCAATGGCGCTGTCTTAACTCCATGTCGCGCGTCGCTCGACGCGGTCGCAAGTCGCTTCTACCGGACCCTTTTTTCGGCGGATTTTGCTTTTTTTCTATGGAGCCCGACGGAGAAGGTCGCGCTACCGTCGCTGGATCGTCGCCCCGAAAGTCGCGCTATCCCAGCCGCTGCAAAGGTATGTCGCAATATGTGAACGGGGTCTTACACAGGTCAGTTATGTGACCAGTTTTCAAATCCAATGAAAATAACTGCCATTGTTATGAAAACAAGGCTGCTTCTCCTGCTGTGTCCTCTGACACTGTTTTATATGGTCACAGTATAGGCTCAATTCATGAAGCTTTACACAAGGATAAGAATCCTTATCCTGGGGTGTTAGCTTTGTGAATTGATCATAATGTGTTGTATGATCAGAAGAGTGACATCTGACAATTGAAGCGATTAGCCATGACTTCCTCTGCTGACAGGATGTAAAGGAAAATCTCTTCATTAGGGGCACATATGGCAATTCAAATCTTACTGGTCCTCTAGCCCTATCCACTCTACCCAAAACAAATGGTGCCAACACTTACCAGTAGAAGCCTCTAACAAAACTGTGCTGCAATTCTCTATGGGAGAACCCCCAAAGAATGCAACAAAAAACGCTGTCGAAAAACCACAAAAAACGCAAGCCAAAAACGTTGTGGCACAACCACAAACAAACGCTGTGGAGCAACCACAAACCATGTGCCTCGAGCCAAAAAGACTGAAACACACGTACGCCCACAGTGGCTGCAGCCTGTTTTATAGAGAATTTGCTTGTGATGTCATAAACCGTGGTGTTGCTATTTTGAAGCGTCCCAGGCTGCCTAGGCTGGCTGTTTACTGTTACAGTGCACGTCTGTTGATGTAATTGACAGTTTACAATTTGAATCTGACTCTTGGCTGCAACAAACAGCTGATTTTTTTTCTAGTGCGTTAAAGAGTAAGGATCTGTATGGACGGGTTTTGGACCATCAGCTTGACTTCATTTTGAGATGCTTGTGGGATCATTTAAAAATAATTGACAATACAATACAACAATTGAAGTAGACTCCAGGTTTGCTCAATCCCTTACATGCTTTACTTACCCATAATATATACATATACAGTATACTGTATATATACTGTATATATATATATATAGTGCAAAATAAATGGGTAAGCCGTATTAGTCCAGTAGGCAAGATGTAAAAAAAAAACCCGTAGTATTGCAGTGTGCAATGATACCTTTCTTATCGGACTAACACAATATATAGGACAAGCTTTCGAGAGTGAACCTCTCTTCTTCAGGTCAGAAGCAATACTGATCAACATGACAGTTTGTCAGTTAAGGCAAGAGAAAGCTGTTAGAGAGGGGGGGGGGTGTTAGTGGGGTGTCATACATGTTGGACCTGAGAGTAAAAAATGCCTCCTGATAATCAAAAGACAGAACAAATAAACATAGGATGACAGATAAACCATAAACAGACCAGATATATACAACATACATGAATATTGCGATGTTCTGTAGATTCATAAAAAGTTCTGGTAGTGTGTCAGAAAACCAGAATCCACATTAAGTCCCTCCTTTATGGTGTAGAATCATTTTCATCTCAAATGTTTTCCTTTCATGAGTTTTTAAAATTCCCTTTCAGTACTTTAATTTTGAGGTTGTGGATGGAGTGATCCTTCTGGGAGAAGTGATGTCCTACTGAAGTGCAATATTTATTCTCTTTGTGGTTCTTGATCGAACTCCTGTGTAGGTTCATCCTGAGCTGCAGCTTAAGACCAGTTTCCCCAATGTAACATCCTTTGTCACATGCTGAACACTGTATCATGTACACCACATTAGCAGATGTGCATGAGTATGACCCCTTAATTGGGTACTCTTTGTTATTGTGACTTGCTGTATTCCTGTCACATACAGGTGAAACTCGAATAATTAGAATATCGTGCAAAGTTCATTTATTATATGGGGTCTTCTGAGAGTACTGGCTGTAGATCTTTGATAGTTTTGCGTATTACCTGGATTACATGGAAGTTTAAAAGGCTTTCTTCTCCTTCTGTCCATATTATGAAAATGCCATCAATATAACGATAATATTTGAATGGTTTGTGAGGGTGAGTGGCTAGGAATCTGTGTTCTAGGTCAGCCATGAAGAGATTGGCATATTGTGGTGACATTTTTGTGCCCATAGCGATCCCGGTCATTTGTAAATAGATGTTGTCATTGAAATTGAAGTAGTTGTGTGTCAGTATAAATTCAATGAGTTTGGCAATGGTCTCACTGTCATAATTATGTCTGACATTATGGGAGGAAAGGAATTTGGTGCATGCCTCAATACCATCTTTATGGGGGATGTTACTGTACAAAGATACCACATTCATGGTGACATGTATAGGATTAGCAGGTAGGTTAGTGATTTGGCTCAGTTTGTTCAGAAAATCTGTGGTGTCTTGTATAAAACTCCCAGTGTTGATAACTAGGGGCTTCAGAATGTTTTCAGTTAAGCCAGATATTTGTTCTGTAATTGTTTCCATACCTGTAATAATGGGTCGTCCTGGGTCTCCTGGCTTTTGGATTTTGGGCAGCATGTAGAAGGTCCCCATGTTAGGATTAGAGGGGAGCAGATTAAGTAATCCTTGCTGAACATGTTTTGGGAAGGATTTGATAAGTTTAATAAGTTCTTCTGTATATTCCCTGGTGGGGTCCTGGCCCAGCTGTTTGTAGTAGTTTTTATCAGACAATTGTCGGTTTCCTTCTGCAATGTAGTCCTGGGTGTTCATTATAACTATTGATCCGCCCTTGTCAGCTGGTTTGATGATGATTTCTTTATCATTCATTAAGTTATGCAAGGCTTTTCTTTCTGCAGGTAGGAGGTTGTTTGTATTTTTTTTCTGTTGGGTGGTAACAAGGGATGCTACACTCGTGCGGAAGTTGTCAATGTAATTGTCCAATTTGATGTTACGTCCTGTTGCAGGTGTGAAGCCTTCATTTTTTCTGCTGTCCAGGCTGGATGTGGTGATATCTTTGTCAAAGAAAAATTCCTTAAGTCTCAGTCTTCTAAAGAACTCTTCCAAGACTGAGTATAATTGTATGTGGTCCACTTTGGTGCTTGGACAAAATGTAAGCCCCTTGGATAGGACTGCTGTTTCCTGTATTGTGAGATGATGATTTGAGAGGTTAACAATCTCAGTATTGTCTGTGCAGCTTTCACGGTGGTTAACCATTTCAGCTTGGATAGGGACGTAGGTTGTTACAGAGGATGAGGTGAAATTGGTTAATCTTGTTTTTGGGACGTCTTTATTCTGTGCAAGGTTTGCCAGTTTCTTCTTTTTCTTACTGATGAGGCCAAATTTTTGGCTTCAGGTGCAATTTGTAGAAGGCTCTGGATCTGGCAGATGATCTCAGCTGCTGGTGAGTTATGGGTAGTCGAGAGTGGGTTCTTCATAGTTAGTCCCTTTGGGATGATGTTTATTTTCTTACAACGGGTAAGAATCAATATGTCACTGTTGATCTGAGTTTCTTATATATATTGACCACTTGCTGTCCGGAGCAATTTTTTACATTTGCACACACATGATAACATCTGAATTTTAGGCTGGAAAACAGCTTCAGACCCCCAAACAATGAGCTTCAGACCCCCAAACAATGATATTTTTTCTGAAAGTAGAGGCTCTGTGGAATAAAAATATGCTAGTTGCAATTTTTTATGTCGCACGGTATTTGCGCAAATGTTTATCAAAACAAGTATTTTTAGGATAAGATCCACTAAAATGAAATTTAGTGCACAGAAACAGAATATAATACCCAATTTTTGGGTAAAATATAAAAGACGCGGTCACGCCTGGTAAATAGATACCAAACATGTCAAACCTTAAAATTGCGTGCATCCGTGAAACCGCAAAAAACTACAATAACCCAAATTTCCCATAGGCGACACTTTAAACGCTTTTACTGCTCATCAGTTTATTGTTAACAGTGATTGATGGGCCAAGAGTTATTGGTCTCACATGTGTGGCGCAATTTTTGTTTTTGCAAGTAGGCGCATCTAACGCATGTTTCGTTGTATGTGCATACACATGTGGGGCGAGGACTATTACTCTATAGCTGGTGGTATTCTGCATTGCGCTGTATAATGTATTGCTGGGATTTGTTGTATTCTTCTATAGTTGGTGGTATTCTGCATTGTGCTGTATAAAGTATTATTACTGGGATTTGTTGTATTCCTCTATAGATGGTGGTATTCTGTATTATGTGCTATTGCTGGGATTTGTTGTACTCCTCTATAGCTGGTGGTATTCTGCATTGCGCTGTATAATGTATTGCTGGGATTTGTTGTATTCTTATATAGTTGGTGGTATTCTCCCTTGCGCTGTATAATTTAATTTTGCTGGGATTTGTTGTATTCCTCTATAGATGGTGGTATTCTGTATTATGTGCTATTGCTGGGATTTGTTGTACTCCTCTATAGCCGATGCCATTCTGCATTGATTGCTGTATAATTTTACACTTTCCATTTCACTATATTGCACGCCACATTTTCTTTTTTACGTCCAGCAATCCAAGCTGCTCCCATGATGGACTACAACCTCAATACAAACTAGTAGTCCATCACCGGAGCCATTTTTTTATAATCCTCTTAATAATCGGCTAATTGATTTTGAAAATAATTGTTTGCTGCAGCCCTAATGGATTCCATTTACTGTGTCCAGAGCACAAGCTTTGGCTGCCAATATCTGGGATAGGAGACACCAGGGTGTGTTTTCTTTTTTTAGGTTTATTAAGCCACACCCTCTATTGGAATTAGACACACCATTTCTTTTACTGCAGCACACTTCCCTTAACACCTTTAGTCCTCAATCAGCAACTAGAATTATTCTGGCAAAGAAACCCGCCTAGAATTTCACGAAGAGCCATTTAGGCGAGAACATGCACATTGAATTCCCTGACTGGACGTGATGATTCCGCCGCAGTCACGTGCTCCCACACAAGTCAGAGCGCCGGTGATCGATCAAAAGTACGAACTTATCAAGTTGTGGGACCGCATTACTTCCGGTTTCCTCAGAACTACGAGGTTTGCACACAAAACATGTTGTGCACGAGCGCCATCCACGGCATTGCCCTATACACATAGACCACAGCAATAAAGTAATACAATGATCTAGGATGACAGTAAGCCAGCACGTTCTTTATCTCAGGTGCCCCACTCAAGCGGCGGCCATATTGAGTGGGGCACCGGAGATAAATAACTTGCTGGCTTACTGTCATCCTACATCATTTTATTACTTTATTGCTGTGGTCTATGTGTATAGGGCAATGCCGTGGATGGCGCTCGTGCACAACATGTTTTGTCTGCAAACATCGTAGTTCTGAGGAAACCGGAAGTCATGCGGTCCCACAACTCGATAAGTTCGCACTTTCGATACATCACCGTCTTCTCGCTAGAGCGGCGTTTCGGTACTGTGGAAAAGAACCATAGAGCGGAGGTTCGCGGCTGCTTCAGCAACTTCCGCTTCCGGCTATGAGGACAGCTGCTCTTTGGTTTCTGCATGGGTTGAGGTTGCCGCGTGAGCTGTGCTGCCGGGGCATGGCGAAAAGCAAGTTTGAGTATGTGAGGGAGTTCGAGGCGCCGGATGCATGTCTGCCAAACTGCTGGGTGGTGGTGAGAGTGGACGGGAGAAACTTCCACAGGTAAGGTCATGTGACCAACGCGTGCACCTGCCCGTCTGCGGAGCTGTTATCACCAATCAGAGAGTTTGAGTACTCCCTTTTATACCTGGTAACTGTGGGTCATGTGACCTAGCTGGGCACGGGGCTGTCATCGGCCATCAGAGAGGCTGAGCACACACCACTTTGCAATGTCCCTGGCTTTGGTTATCATGCCAGTAGACCCCTCAGATGGTGGGATATCAGTCAGGTCTTTTTGCACTAAGAATCTGAATTCTTGTGGCTGGAGTCACAGGTGGTTCCCTGTTCTGAATGTATTTGCTCCATATGTCATTACATCTGAACACTGGCTGACCACTGTGGCTGCTGTCAGCCTGTCATTGTTTTGTACAGGCTGAGCGCCCACAGCTGTGCAGAACCACCCGAGATTCTAGCCCCAGGAATCCACAGCTGGCCCCTTGCCCCGTTCCCACTGCGTGATATGCAAATCGCGCGCTTGTCGCGTGATTTGCATATTGCGCGATATCGCGAGATTTGCAGCGCGACATTGCGTTCAAGCTTGCATTGAGCAAGCTTGAATCGCGGCTTAATCCGCTCCAAAAAGGGTCCTGTTGTAGCGACCCGCGACAGCAGGACCCTTTGCCCCATTGAAATGCATTGGAGCGCGATATCGCGCGGTAATTTGCCGCGATATCGCGGGAATTACCGCGTGATAAATCGCTCAATGTGAACGGGGCTTTAAACGCTTGTGTGAATGAGACCTTGCTGTCTTGACCTTTTCGGCCTCATTCACACTGCCGCACGTATTGTACCATATGCAAATAAATGGCCCCATACACATAGCCGCAAATATGCGTAAAAACAGAATGGAACCAAGATGCGTCCGGGCAGCGTATTTATGCATATTTTATTCTATTAGGAATGATGCATTCTGGGAATGCAAATAGTGCGCGCTTATACCGATATGCACATACGCTCGTATATACCCTCGTGTATATGCGCAATATACCATTTTGCTCGCGTTGTGTGTGAATGAGGCCCAAAGTGTACATGTAGCCATTCCTGAACTGTATCTGTGAGCGGCTTCCTGAGTGTGGTGGCAACATATTGCTATAGTGTTCTAAAAGCTAGGATGCTGGTTTAAAGCCACTCTGTGGCCACTTTAAAAATAAAAAAACTTAAGGCGCTCCTTGTAAAATAAGAGGTTTAAAGTGACACTCCAAGGATGTTCTTTTATGGAAACTTACATTGGTTCAATCTAAGTTTCCATATCTGGGGGGCCGCTGGGGATGCTGAAAAACGCTTTTGTAGACAGCGCTATATACAGCGATAGCTGTGATCTTCTTTGTGCAACTCCAGTGGCTTCCCCTGCACACACTAAACACAGGGATGCTCGGCACCGCTGCAATTCAGAGACTGCCTTGTATTTTTTTTCCACTGCATATAAGGTGTTCTTTGATTGGACAAGGTGGAGATTGTGATGTCATCTGCCACCACCTCTCTAATTGGTCCAATCAGAGAATGTCTTGTATTCATTAAAAAAATATTACAAAGTAGGGATGTCCCGATGCCACTTTTTCAGGCTCAAGTACAAGTACAAGTACATCCCCTCATGTACTTGCTGATACCAATTACTGATACTTTTTCTTAAAGGGACAGGTGACTTTAAATGATCCATAGTACAACTACATGTTATGTACTATGGATCGTGGTTTAACCTATTCATGTTAGCAGGGGATAATTGTAACTCTATTGCTGGAGTGTAGTGGAGGTGTGTGCTGTATATATGTACTACATATACATTACACACGTCCAGTACACTATAGCAATAGATTTACAGCCAACCCCGTCCCAGCTTCCCTTACTCACAGTTTCACTCCGATCCCCGTAGCCTCACGCGGTGATATTCTTTGAATGACGGCAGAGCTGAGGAAGTGACTCCGTGTTTAATGTGCGGAGGGGAAGCTGCTGGAAATGCACCCCGAAGATTACAAGTACATAGGCAAGTGAAACAGTTCATGTATATAGGGCTGCAGCTAACGATTATTTTCATAATCTGTTAGTTGCCCGATTTATTCAACTAATCGATTGGTTGTATAAAAAAAAAATCTCCCCTCTCTCTCCCTCCCCTTTCCCAGCCAACTAATCGATGATGAGAATAGTTGCCAACTATTCTCATAGTCAATTGTTGCAGCCCTACATGTATATGTATTTCAGCAGCCGGTGAAATGCACTCCTTTAGATATTTATTAACCTCCCTGGCGGTATGATTCTTTTTTTTTTTTTCTTTTTTTTTCAACTTTTGAGTCTCCCGCAGGTTCCGCCCCCTGCGACGCTCGCAAGGGACGGAACCCGGAAGACTGATGCCGGCATCGGCCGGAGGACACAGCGCGGCTCGAGGGACAAGGTAAGATACGCGCTGTGTATTCCCGAGTGTGGCTTGGGGTTACCACTTATGGTACAGAAAATTAACCCCGAGCCACACTCGGGAATACCGCCAGGAAGGGTAAGCTAATATTCCCAGAATTGATTGTTCCTGTTTAGGGTGTTTGCTTATCTGTGCGATCCTCTGTATGTTCTCACTGATCTCTGTTCCAACAGGTTCTCGGAGCAGCATAACTTTAGTAAACCCAATGACATCCGTGCTCTCCAGCTCATGAACCGCTGTGCACAGAATGTGATGGAAGAACTGAAAGACATCTGTCTGGCATATGGACAAAGCGATGAGTACAGCTTTGTCTTTCACAGGAAATCTAACTGGTACAAAAGGCGAGCAAGGTCAGTACATTTATAGTTTGCCTTTTCACTTTGAAGCATTGGGGTAAATTTAAGGCCTAATTCTTTTTGATGTGAAGAACATCATGTATAAAAAGCAAATGTTTTATCAGGTTTCTTTAAAAACTCTTAAATCACCATTCATGTCTAATGTAGGAATGTCAGATGGTGGTCTTAGGATTTCCAGCTTCATCTTTAACCCCTTCATGACTGAGGCCTTTTTTTCATTTTTTGCACCCATGTTATATTCCACATTTTAGGCCTGAAAATTACTTGAAACCCCCACACATTATATATTTTCTGAATGCCAAGACCCTATACAATATAATAGTGGTAGTTGCAAATTTTTATGTTGCGCAATATTAGCGCAACTCCTTATTAAACCCCAAAATTTCGTGATAAATTTAATTAAATGCCCCAAAACACAACAAAATACAATTTTTTTTTAATGAAATATAAAAGATGAGGTTACAACGAGTAAAACGATACCCAACATGCCCAGTTTACAAATTGCGTGCGTCCGTGAAACGGCGAAAAACTGCAGTACCCCAAAAAGTCCACAGAAGGCGCTTTAAAAGCCCCCACAGGGCATCAATTTAGAGATGCCCTAGAGTTATTGCTCTCACTCCGGCGTGCGCGGCAATACCCAACATGTGTAGCGCTTTATCGTTTTCATACGTAGGCGCACCCGACGCGTGTTTACGTGGCGACACGGGGGATTTTTAAAATTTTTTTATTATTAAATTTATTTGATTTGATTTTAATTTTAAAAAAATGTTTTTTTTTTGTTTGTTTTTTTAACTTTACTTTGACTGCTATCACAAGCCCCCCCATGTGATAGCAGATGGTGGTGACAGGTACTCTTTAAGGTGATGCTGGGGGTCCAAAAGACCCCCAGTGTCACCTTTACACTGGAAATAAGCTATTGAAGTGCAGATCGCACTATTAGCAAAAACCTAGTGAAATCCTGTCTAAAGCAAAACCCAGCACCCTTTTGAAGATCTGTGTTTACATTAGAGAGCTTTCCCTGTCCTGATGACTACACAGAAAGGGAAAAGACATATGCCCAGTTAGCATTAATGTGATACTGTCACTTTGGCCAGTTAAGGTTTTGAAATGATCCAAGTTGCTTTCTCAGCAGCTCAGCCCACCCTGCTCCCCACATTCAGCAGTGATTTATCAGCACCACTCCCTGAAAATGCTGAAATGCTGCTGATTTAATACTGGAAAAGGGGCAGCTGAGTGAATTGAGCTTGTGGTCTCTACTTTAAAACATATCTTTACTTTGCAGTCAAATTTGAGAAACTGCCACTATGTTTGTGTTTCATTTAGCACACATACTGATAACATGCACTGATAATGATCTGCCAGCACAGTACAGCAGAACCATCATTCTTGGAGAAATCCTTGCATTCATTTCTGTGATTGGCGGAGGGGAGATTGTGCTGTTCATCCACACCTCCTCCAATCACAGAGCACTTTTTTTCTGAATGGCGGATGTTTACTCACTGTGATCAGTGTACTATGGCTGGAACAAGAAATCTCAGCGCCGGACATTCAGTGCCAATGTCCGGCATCAGTGCTAACTTATTTTTTACTGTGCAAATCTACTAAATCGTTTATGACTAGAGTTCATTTTAAAGCTCATCTTTAATGTAACTATTTTCATTTAGTGTCTGGACAAAGCAGTCATTTTATATTTACCAACTAGTGCATTCTACATGAGAAAAATGTCTGACGTTGCATATTGATTTTGTGTGTGTGATTGATATTTATATTGCATTAAATAAACTTTAAGAATAATATTTGTCACAACTGAATGTTTTATGTTTTTTCTTTTTGCAAGCAAGTTTATGACGCACGTGGTCTCGCAGTTTGCCTCCAGTTATGTCTTCTACTGGAAGGAGTTCTTCCCGGATCAACCAATCTTGTACCCGCCTGGGTTTGACGGCAGAGTGGTCTTGTACCCCAGTGAGCAGAACCTCAAGGATTATCTCAGCTGGAGACAGGCTGACTGTAAGGAGCCATTGTAATACTCTTAGATCATAACAGTGACGTGTAAAAGTATCACCCAGATTTTGTTTTCATAAAATGTGGCCTTTGAATTCACATAGAACCAGCCGTTTGTACTGAATCTATAAGCTGCATTTACTTACAGCCAATTGTTTTACTTTATGGCTTCTGTGGATAAAAGAACATTTCTTAAAAGAGAACTAAAGTTTATTTTCTGTAATTTTTCCTTAAAGGAGAACTATGGGGTCAGGGCTTTTCCCCATACTTCTCCTAGGGTTAACGGGAGGACACAAACTAGCGTCCTCCCGTCACCCAAAGCTCAGTATACCGCGGTATACTGAGACGCCGCAGCCGGGACGGATCCTGGCAATTCTGTCTGGATTCATCGAGCTGCGTGAGTGACAGCTGGCTCTGCCTATCTAGAGGCAGAGCCAGCTGTACCCGCCCCCTCCCCCGTCCGTTCCGCCAGTCAGCCCTGGAGGATCAGACAGGGGAGGGGCGGGAATCCCTGCAGGGAGCCGTGAGTGACAGTCACGGCTCTCTGCACGGATAGATTGAGAAGTGAGCGAGCGCCGGTATGTGTTCCCTCACTTCCCGATCTACTGAGCCGACGTGTGACAGTTTCATTGTCACAGGTCGGCTCAGATTATGAGGCTGAGTGAAAATCACTCGCCTCATAATTCTCCTTTTAACACAGTTCTCTTCCTGCAGTCCTCAGAATCCACAGTTCACCTTTTTCTTTGTGCTATCCACACATGTAATCAATATAGAGCAAAGGCAGCCCACACAAGAGACGGGAGGAAATTTATCAAAATCTGGAGCAGCTGTGCAGTGCAGCCAATCAGCTTCTCTCTTCAGTTTGTTCAGTTATGATTTGAAAATGAAAGAAAGAAGATGATTGGTTGCCATGCACAGCTGCTCCATATTTTGTCTGCTCCCATTTTGATCAATTCTCTTCAAGGTCATCTCTGATAACAATTAGAAAAACTAGTAGGCCAGAGGCGCCTCCTTGTGAATTATGTTTTAATTGTAATTATATAAAATCATTATAGTATCATTACAGGTACTCACAATAAAATAGGATTGTCAAGCGCTCATCATTTGACAAAAACACCCTTGTGTCTCTCTCCGCTACGTAAATATTCTCTGCAGTTCTCCCTTCAATATGTCCAATTAAAGCAGTTAAAAGAAATCCTCAGACTGGGAGGCACAGGCTACACAGTTAGACACGCTTACAACTCGCTTGTCAAACCAAAAATGATCTGACTACCACGTTTTCAGGGCACGCTCCCTTCATCAAAATGTATCTTGTTCGGGACCAACGTGAAAGACTCTGAAGGGGGCGTGTCCCAGAAACGCATTAGCCAGATATTTTTTTTAGTTTGACATGCGAGTTGTAAGTGTGCTTATCTCCGTGTAGTAAGGTTTGTTTACCTCTTTGGTTGGACGCATTGCAGTGAGAACTGCAGATATTTACATAGGTGAGAGAGTGCTTGACAACCTATGATGAGCGCTTGACAGGCTATTTTATTGTGAGTACCTGTCTATTTTGGTTTTATATCATTACTATTAAACATATTTCATGAGGAGGCGCCTCTGGTTTTTGTGTTTGGTTTTTTTCTTCCTTTTTGTAATGCAAATTCTTTGACATCACAAGTAAAAATAGCTATGTGTGTTGTCTTTCTCTATAGGTTTCCCAGCTGATATGCTGGCTTAGCAGCATGACCTAAGATTCTCTATAACCTCTTGGTCATAAACATCCCACACTTTCCTTTTATTATGTTGTTATGCTCCTATATGTGCATAACAGGCAAAGACCATCACTGCACAGAACAATGTAGCTTCTCCCAGGCCTATCCTGTGTTCTGTCTAAATGATAGACAGCTGCACTTAGTTTAAAAAAAAAAAAGTAGCAATAGGAGCAGAAGAGGAAGGAGAATGGAGGGGATAGAGCTAAGAGTAAGGCCTTGTTCACACCAAGTGCAGAGCAGATCAGTTACAGACCGGATCAAAACTGTCCAATGTATTCCAATGGTATTTTTAGCTCCAGTTCACATCGCAGCGTGCAGGTCCAGAGCAGGTGAAAAAACTGCAGCAGGCCCTATTTTACCTGCTCTGGATCTGCAAACGCATGCAAATGCCGGGAACGCACTGAAAGCCCATTTTAAACTTTAAAAAAAAAAGACTAGCGTGCGTGTGACCGGATCTTCTCTGCATTTGGTGTGAACAAGGCCTAAAAGTAGTTGCTGCAGGGAGCTTCTGTGAGGGAATGATTATATCGCTTCCCCAGACAGAAGAACTGGCTTCATCACCTCCCACTAATGCTGAGGAAGTACACGGAGGAGACTCTGCAATTTTAAAGTGTTTGCATTTAAAAAAAAAAAAAAAGATACTTTAGTTCTGCTTTAGGGGCAAAGTTCACTGTAAATTGGTTCTTCTATAATGAGTGAGTGCTGGTGAGCTACATCATCCATTGCCTTCTTTATCTGGGGGACTCTGGTGGAGAGCTTTTCAGTGGTGTTCCTGACTCCACTCTCCCACACATTCCTCCATCACCAAAAATAAATAAAACTGCAGGCGAGAGGTTAGACAAGTGCTAATAACATTTCCAGAGCCCATGAGATATTGAAGGGAAGAGTTGGATCCATTTTCAGGTTTTTATTGCTGTCTGAGGCCCGATTAGGAAAATTTCCCCTCGTTTCCTGTGCCAGTGACAACATTGAAGGGACATCTTTTCATGGTCACAGACAGCAATTGAAAACTGTAAAAGGCTTCTAGTCTTTCCAGATCTAATTTTTTTTAAAAAATGTCTTAATGGAATATCTTTGTTGAAGAACTTTCACCTTCACTTTCTATTAATGGAAAACGTTTTGCAGAAACCTCAATAAAAATCAGACTGAGGCTTATCCAATTCAAAGAAAAGTGTTGCTTGAGTTCAACTTATTATGCAGTTATTTCTATAAAAATACATTTATAATATCTAAATAATGCCTTTATATCTGCCTCCTGTATTCCATATACAGCAGCACTAGCTGAGGAAGGGGCAGCACTTTGAGCTAAGGGGATAATAACCTCTTCATTATGTTGATATTTATTATTCAGTCTTGGGATTGCTCTTGGACCATACTGTATTTGTTTATCTGCCAGGAGGTCCACGACCTAGTTGTCCTGTCTGGCAGGGGTGTTTGCATCACAAGACTAGCTGAACAGAATTATGCATCCTTTGGCTAGTAAAACAGGTAAAATATATACATGTCATCTGTGTTTTTAGCTGATTGCCTGTACACGTTATGTGGCACTCTTACGCCCTTTGGTAACTTACATTTTTTTGTGCTTGCCTTCCTGCAGGCCACATCAACAATCTATACAACACCGTTTTCTGGTTGTTGGTACAGAGGGGAGGATTAACTCCAGCACTGGCTCAGGACCGGCTACGGGTAAGTTTTTTATGTCAATGTTTTTCACTTTTAGCCCTCACGTTTACCCGCACGTCCATGCGTGTATCCCTGCTCGGACGTAGACAGGATCCATCCTGTCAGCGTAGGAGTACGGACACCCACACAGACGTGCAGTTCAGGTGAGCGTACAGCCGTGTACTCCCATAGAGGAAAACGGGCTCCTGCGTACAATCACACGCAGCACCTGTCCTTGGGAGCGGCCCAATACGGATCTGTACTGGTCGGCTGTCGTGTGAATGAGGGATAAGTGTTTTCAGTCAGCATCACTAAGAATACTTTCAGGTCGTACAAGAATGTTCTCCTGCCACACAACCTACCGCCAAAGTTCATCCTGGAATATGTATAGCTGAGTGCCCTGCTCCTTCAGTGCAGGCACTGCATAAAAACCTGATTATTGGCCTGCATAAAAAATACAGACCAGCGTCTTCCTTAGTTCTGAGTAGCACTTTAAAGTCCTGGCAGTGTAAGATTGAACTTGCGTTTTCAGTTTAGCTGAAGTCGTCAGCTTAACTTCTGAATATATTCTGGAGGGATAATGTACTAGAAAAAAAATCATACAGGATTTCTGTGCCAGCACTCTCTAGTGACTTCTCCTTGGCGACATGTATAATTCACTTAGGGCCCAGTTATATTGCTGTATGTTTAAAATACAGAATGAGGGGAATTTGCTAAGACTGGAGCAGACACATTCTCAAGCAGCTGTGCATGGCAACCAGTCAACTTTTCAAAGCTTAAAGTGACTCTAAGCCTCTGGAGTTGAATCTTAAAAATACATTCAAGTACCTTAACAAAAATGTTTCTTATTTGTGTATCACTCGGCTGTAGATCCTCAAATCATCTCTGAATTGTGCTGATACCGTCCTTCCTTCTGGAGGGTGGATACATTTGTTCTCCATGGTCCTTGTGTGTGTTGTAAAGTAGTCACCGCTCCAAGCTCACTCCTGTGATAGGCTATAACTTCAATAGAAATTAGTAAACTAGACATAAGATTATAGTCTCAATCTGTTGTAGGGGGGAAGGGTTCCATGATGGATACTTTGCAGAATTACAGACCTGCTGTATTTTGTTTTTTCTCGCCCTACAGGGAACACTTGCTGCCGATAAGAATGAAATATTATTTTCAGAGTTTAACATCAACTACAATAACGAGCCGTTACTGTATAGGAAAGGATCTGTCATCCTAAAGAAGAAGGTAATAAGAACTTTTGTTTTACAGTCTATATACTGGTGAAGCTAAATAAAACATTGGGTTAAAACATCTGAACAAAAGAAAATCCTCCATGAGATTTGAAAACTCTGAAACCTTGCTGAGTGCTGCACTGACTCTTCAAAAATCTCACAGCCATGCATCTGTGCTTCAATCTCCATTCATTCCTATTAAAAGGTCATCCACCTTTCACTGTAGGGGTGCATGGCCTGTCCATAAGAATGAATGCAGATTGTGGTGCACATGCATGGGAAGAGGCCAGCAACGCATAGCTGGCCTAACACAAAGATCTCAGAGGAGTGATGACTGGTAATTGTAAGGCATGGAGGAAGGTGCCTGGCCTCAATAAGGATATCTGTACTAAAAGTAGTTATCCTTTAAGTGCTTGTTGACTGTTGTCATTAGAGATCACATGAGGTTCTGTGTGCTTCAAATGAGATGACTGCCTCTAATACTTGAATTGTTTTTGTACCTTTTTGTTTTTTCTTAACTTGTACTTTCTGTTTTAGGTGAATGAAATCAGCAAGAAAGTAATAAAGCTGAAAGGTGAAGAGGAGAAGGAAGTGGAGGTATCCCGTGTACGGAACCAGTTCGCCATTCTGCATTGTGATGTAATCAGCGACAAGTTTTGGGAGGAGAACCCAGATATACTTTCAGCTGAGAGCTGAATAAAGTGCTTTTTTCCCCTGCTTCTTGTTGACGCCCCATAACTGACACTACTGGGATGTATGGACCAAAGAAGTTGGCAGAAAGTTTAGTCTCTCAATTACTCAAATTATTTATGGGAACATTTTAGAATAAAACCTTTTTTTGTAAGCAAAGTCTGTGATTGTTGTCTGCGTAAAATCTCGTCTAAAGGTGTGCTGCAGGAGAAGGGCTGTTAGACTTGCCTTTTTGGCGACCCAAGTCTCCTACATCCCCATCCAGAGGGTTGAATGCCTGTGTTCCCACCACACATCTTGGTTCCAATCCGCTATCTCCTAAATCACTGTTGTGTCCTATTGGATGGGAAAGTAGGGAGCAGATGCTTGTGAGATTGGTAAATTGTTCCTTCAACCTATACTTGCTGCACAGGCATTTAAATACTTAGTGGTATGGTAGTGTAGAGGACCAGATGAGGCTCTCAAAGTATACTCCAGTCAACGTTGCAAATTAGAAAGAGAAACACTGAAAAGCTGCATGCTTTGTGTCCCTTTCAAAATCTCTCCTACTTCTACTGTGTTGTTGCTGACTGAAGTCTGTACAATATTTCTTGCCTTTGTCTCGGAAATAATACACAATAAAACCTGCCTCATCTCTCTTACATTGCAGCCCAGTAAAACCATTTACATGATGTGCAGCGTGTCTGTGTAATGTATCTGGCTTTTATCTTTGACATTATACACTATACATTTTGTGTCACACTAAAAACCTTCCTCGTCTCTCCCTCTTACAGTGCAGCAAAGTAAAACTGCTTGCATAGTGTGCAGCAAGTCTGTACAATATTTCTGGCTGCTGTTCCTTAAATAACATTTTTATTTCTTAATAAAAACTGCCTTACCTCTCCTTCCTACATTGCTGCTCAATCAATCTGTTTGCACACTCCAGCCACTGACCTTTATGTTTGGGTATTGTCTCTGAAATATGGCTTTATAATTTTTATTACACCATAGCAACTGCCTTGTCTTTGGAATGTGGGGTTGCAGTTTTGAAGTGGTTTTGTGCAGTCTGTGTCATTTTATTAAAGTTTGTAGACAATACATTGTTGTACTGCACTAAAAGATCACACGCTATGCTATAAAACATTTTTTGCCACTGTTTGGCAACTGTTTTAAAGTTGAGGGCTTAAGCTTAACTCTTTTTAAAGTGTAAACCGTCTAATAGTTTTTAGATCCCAAGCTTTTGGAGAATGAAAATGGGTAGAATTGATTTTTAGCATCTGCCCCAAATTGACTGCAATGAGGTTCAGATTAAAATTTACAATTTCTGGATTTTACAATAAATTTGTAAAATTATTTTACAATAAGTTTAATGGATGCCCTGCAGTTAGAACCCAGACACTTTCACTCATCACGACTTAGAAGCATCCTGGTCTCTTGGAGCAGAGACTTTTGCTGACTTCTGGAATGAAGATTGGCCACCTTTCCAGTTCTTCAGCTTCTGGCCCGGCCTGTAGGAGGGCATCACTTTAGAGCAATTTAGATTCTGGTTCTGGACTGCGTTCTTCTCTGTCTCTCATCAAAATAAAGGAAAAGAAGCATGGAAAAAATAAAACAAGGCCAGACACCACACCTACAGACTGGTAAGCGGAAATATTTTACAGTGTAAAATATATGTAAAACTCTAACTGCATTACATTGCGGTTGCAAAACCACTGTGTATCAACAGCCCCACCCACGATATGACTGTTTTTACCTTTTTATTTTCATCCTCTTTTGCAACTAAGTGATCAACAGAAATTTGCTAATTGCCGTTCTAAATTTTTATTTAACATTCTGTTTTGGCATGAATGTTTATAAATAAGTTAGATCGAGAAACATTTTCCAAATGCTCCTTCAAATTTTTTGGTCACTGCAGTTGAAATCGATAGCCGGTTTGACCCCATTAACGATTAAAACGTCGAACAAACGTTTTGTTCGTTTTAAATTCTAACCATGTATACCCTTTGTTATGGAGCTGATTGCATATCTACAGCTATGGGACTATAGAACAGGAGTGTTTAAGCACCGAAAGTGCGCTGCTATTTTTAAGGAGGAATTCAAACCAAATGGTATTATTCAGGGTGCAATTAACATTTCTAGACATTCCCTATATGATAGCAAATATTTACATTTAGAATGAAGAGGAATACCAACAAAGTTGTATGTGACTGTCATTGTGCAGGACTCTAAGGTCACTGGTGCATTTCACACATTGGTATGAATACTATAGCTGTACTGTACTATACTATACAAAGTCTGAGCTCAAGAAAAGCAGAGAGGTTGCATACCACATTTGGATAATAAAGCTACAGGGACCAGTGTTGAAATGGATACAATTTGTTTATTAAAAGGTATTTGAGAAATGGAAATGGTACAGTGAAACATCACTATAAATGATATAGCATACAGAACAATTTCTAATCAAGCCAAAAGTGGTCAGGCATCTTAAAAATAATTTACATGTTACTGAAAACGTAAGCATGGTTCATAAAGAACAGTGCTTTACCATGTATAGGGCTAGTAATGCTAAATCCTACCATTAAACTGGACTTAAATGAAACCTGTACTGCAAGGTATTTTGAAGGTGCCATGGCTAATCTTCTGAAAATGCTAACTGCAATTGTCTGGCTGCAGTATTTGTTTGGACAATAACATAGAACAAGTATCCAGATCAGGAAAGTCAGAGTGAAGTCAGAGCTCCTAATCTGCATACTAACTCCAGGTTAGTGACTTAGAAGCCTATCGATTAGCATGGCCGACAGTAAACTAGTCATTTTAGATTGGGAGGTCAGCAATGGCAACTTCCATACTGCTTCAGTGCACTTTTCCTTACAGGGAATGCAATAAAGTAAGAAACTGTGCAGATATGCCAATACTACCCCTTTGGGATCTGAGCCCAACAACCACACAACACATTTTAAACAAAAAAGCAACTACACAATACCTCTCTACCCTATGTAATGGTGATGGAGAGGGGAAGGTGTTTGTAGTTACAATCAGAAGAGAAGCCTAGAGTGACAACGCTACTCCTGCACAGATACAGAGTAGGCATGGTCACCCTTGGGCAGGAAGTGTGCTACTAGCAGGATCAGCAAATGAAAATAAAAGGAAAGTAATGGTGCAGTGAATGGCACTTTAGATGCGCTATAAACAGCTTTAATATTGGAAGTCTTATTTAATTGTTTGAGAATGTGACCTCTTTTATATACTACCTACATCCAGTCAGTCAGTATATGACAGTTGTTTCCATGGTGCAACTAAACAAATCAGTGGCTCAGCAAATATTTCACACTGCGATGGTGCAATAGTAGCAAATAAAAAGTGACATTCTTTATTACAAAATGTGCTTGCTATGAGTCAGTATGACAAAGTGCTCTTAAAGTGCTATAGCAGGGTTCTACACCACCTAGAGCATTCAGCAGAAAACATACAGGGTGTTGCATCTGAGCGAATGTGAGCCTACTGTTGGGCTGCTGTAAAGACTATTTAAAATGCTGAACAACTTGCCGAAACAAAAACAGAATACAGTTAGGATCATTGAAGTGACATTTCCACTCTAACACTAGTCAGTTTATATTCGTGTTGTCAGTTTACCTGGTAACAGTATCTACAGCCACTTTACATCTCTATTTGTGGTTCTATTTAAGCCTTAGGGATAAGTGCACTTTTGTGATAAAAACTAAAATTCTTACATTGCTGGCCAGAGTTGATTCAGTGGCAACAGCCCAAGCATTGTTTTTGTACAGCACATGCATTCAGTGAAGTGCAGAAAAGGATATGTGCGGAAGCAAAAGAGTCAGGGCATGCTTTCCAGTGTTTATGAAATAAGAGATCCGTGGTTTGCCTTAAGATGTGCATGCTTACTACCAGACAATCATGAGCTATCAAGTAGGCATATCAAAGGGTTATCAGGGATGCCTCTTTTGACTCCATATAAGAAAGTCCTGTGTAACAGGTCCGAGCACACACACTTTATTATTTCCAGATAACACTGGGACGGTATCTTCTGCTTCGACATTGTGGGAGCATAAGTCAGTCATTCGTGGTCACTTGATTTAGATTGCCTCTGAACATAAACACAACCAACAAATCCAGTGCTTTGAAGATGATCTAGATCGCGCGTCCCATGCTTTTATGTCAAACCCTTTGGTTTCTAACTGCAAACAATTGGAAGCGATTTTAGCAGACCTTGATTTGTGTCTCAATGATAGGGCTGAACACTCCCTGCGATGGGCAAAACCAAAATTTTACTCTAAAGGCAAGAAGCCGGACTCTAAGCTGGCCAAGCGGCTTTGGACGTTCGACAATGCTCCAACTCCTATGTCCCTTAAGACTAGTCTTGCTACTTGAACCAGTGATCTGGTCCAAATCCTAAGCGAATTTCGCCACCAACCTTCTAAAATATACTCTGCCTTTTCATTGGACACCATCCGCGAGTTTTTTGCTTGAGTCACCCTTCTGGAGATCCCGCAGAGTGGTCACGATCTTCTGGAATCGGAGATCACTGTTCTTGAAATACAGGCCAAAAATATTTTCAGTGTAGTAAGCAGTCGGGACCGGATGGTTTCTCAGCATTGTTCTATAAAAAAAACCTTTGAGGATTTATCTTCTCACTTGGTTGCCCTGTTTAATGGTCTCCTGAAGGGTGACTATGTTCCTGGAGATGCTCACGGCTAACATTGTTATGTTACCCAAACCTGATAGGGATCCCCACTCCTGGACCAATTACCATCCTATGTCCTTAATAAATGTAGATATCAAAATTATTTCTAAGGTTCTCACTGCCTGTATCAATCGGTTCCTGGGATGTTTGGTTAAGAAGGATCAAGTTGGCTCTATTTCCTCTGGTGACAGCGTTCATAGAGTTCTGCATTTAATCCATCTGGCCAAGTCTCGCTCGCAGTAAATAATAATATTATCTTTAGATATTTCCAAGGCTTTTGATATGTTGTCAAGGCCTTATGTTTTTGAGGTCCTCCGTTACTGTGGTTTTGGCTCTCATTTCTCATCATGGATTAAGGCCCTATACTCTTCTCCCCAAGCCAAACTCATATATTGTCGCTTTGAATCTTCTCTATTACCTATTGCTTGGGGCACCCATCACCCATTCTTTTTAACCTGGCCCTTCAGCGGAATACATCAGATCATACCCTGATATTAGCGCCCTTGAAGTGGCAAGTGTACATAACAAAGTGTCCCTTTTCGCTGATTATGTCCTTCTGACCTTGACTTACCCTCTTTTGTCTCTTCTAAATCTCTTTAAAGCGCTGTCTGACTTTGGTTAACCTGCAGATTAGAGATGAGAGCAATCTAAATCCCGGGCCCTTGATGTCTCTTTACTGCCCAGAACGCTCCTTACCATTCACTTGGACCTCTTCTCTCAAATATTTTGGTACTCATTTAACCTCTTCTTATGATACCTTGTACACAGTTAACATCCCTTCCCTCTTGAAGTCCCTCGGCAGCTTACTTACTTCATGGAAGCAGCACCCTATCTCCTGGATTGGGCGAATCCACCCAGTTAAAATGACCTATTTGCCTAAACTACTCTATATATTCCGAGTCCTACCGAATCATATCCCTAGTCATGTCCTTCGCACCTCGCAGTGTAAGGTTATTTTGTTTATCTGGGATAACTCTAGACCCAGGATAAACCAAAAAGTACTTTATCGCCCTAGATCTTGCAGAGGTCTAGCTGTCCTGAATCTTCGACTGTACTACGCTGCTGCAAACATAGCCCCCCTGGCTTTTTTGCATTCAATGGTTCAGCTCCCTCTCTGGGCCTGTTTGGAACTAGAGGAATGCCATCCCACTCCTATTTCATCACGGTTATGGCTACCACCTCCTAATCATCCAACAGCTCTTAATCCTTTTCTTTCCCATTCTTTGAAGGTATGGGACAGAGTAAAGTATTCTGGCAACTTGATGTCACCGCATTTTCCCTTGCCTAATTTATTTAATTGTCCCCTTTTTCACCCTGGTGCTTCTGGCCCTCAAGCGTTCTCTCGGTGGGCGCACAACGGCTTATGCACCGTATATTCTTTTACCCCTTCGGGAATTATATCTTTTCAGCAGCTATGTGACTCTTATACTATCCCCCTCCGAGAATGGTACCGCTATACCCAAATTAGTCACTTTATCAAAGCTTTGATAAAAAATAATGCTACTGCTATGCAATTAACTCAGTTTGAACATTATTGCCACACTAACCTGCATTCTCCTTGCCTTATTTCTATAATCTACTCCTCTGTACTTTCTTCATCTTCCCTTACTCTTACCCTCTACCAGCATAGGTGGCATAAGGAATTGGGTAGGTCCTTGACTTCTGAAGATTGGCAAGCCATTTGGCATTCTGTGGCTCGTTGCTCTCGCAATGTGCTGGCAAAATTCGTATAAGGTGTTGTATCGTTGGTATTATACACCTGCCCGCCTCGCAAAATGTATCCCATTGTACCCTCCACATTGTTTTAGGGGATGCCTAATATCTGGCACTCCATGCGGTGCACCTGCCCCTGCGTATCTAATTTGGATTAGAGTTTATAACTTGATTCTCTCTCTTTTTCATGTATTTCATGTATCCTTGCAGAAGGATCCGTGCGAGGCGCTGTTACTGAAACCCATTCCACAATTAAACCGGTTGCAGAGGATCCTGGTTTCTCACATTTTCATTGCTGCTAAATTGACTATCGCAAGATCGTGGAAGACACCGTCCTTGCGTTTCGGAGAAGTCAAAAATCAACTTAACGATATCCTAGTGAATGAGAAATTGATGGGTGTCCTATCTGACACACACGATCACTTCTTGGCAATCTGGCAGCCCTGGATCGACTATTCCAGACAGCAGTCATTTGATTCTGAGTTGTTGTCCATTTAGGGATTCTGTGCTTCCCTTCATTCTATACTACCCTCTCTTATGTTCCTTTTCTCTCCCCTACCTTCGGGTTCTATTTTCCTGGCTCTTTGCTTGTTGATCTGGAATTCCCCTCCCTTTACTATCATTTTATTTCTTTTTTTTTTTTATCTGTCCACTTAATACATTGCCGCATGTTGACTGCACTGTAGGCTTTCCCTATATGGGAACTAGGCCGCCTATATGCCTCCTCAGAATGCACTTTCCTTCAAGTGCCCTTTTTCCGTAGGCCGGTACGGTTTTGTGTCTTTGCACAGTGGTGTTTTAGGACATCTATTTACCCATACTGTCGATTCGGAAATGTATTCTACTGTGCTCTGTGCAGCATCAGTCATGTTTTTGTTTTTATTTTCTTCTTGGCATATGGCCCTTACTTCTGTTACATTTATATTTTGGAAAAAAAAAATCAATAAAATTATTGTCAAAGAAAGAAAAAAAAAAACTTTCAGAGAATTATTTCCATGATTATTCATTGCTCTGGTATGCAAATGTATAGCAGATTCAAGTCTACAGGTTTGCATACATGGACCACTGGATGGAACCTTTAAGACTTCCGTTAATTTCATCTACAGTCAAACATGACAAAGATTGTTAAACTGGAAGCAATCAGTAGTGTACGGCAAGCTGATAAAAGGGATTCAACTCATATTCCAAGAATATAAAGGAGTTATAAATGAATACACATGGAAGATGTAGCAATTTCTCTGGTTTCTAACCAGTCATATAATTAAACTCTTATAATGTAACATTCAAAGACATTATACAATTGGGAAAACTGCAACTGCCAGATTTTGAGCCATTAGGAACTCTGTATTCAATCATGCTTGGCTCCTAGAGCAAGCTGGGAACCAGGCTTTAATGAAATCCACAGGCTGTCTCTACACAGTAACAGAAATAAAAATATAATGATTTTCATACAAAAAATGGTGTTAGCAACACACAAAGATGGCTAAAACTATACCGAGGACAAAAATATATACATCTGTGACTTGCCAGGACTGGTGGTGTGAAAAGGAAAATTAAAAAAGCCCATTCAAACACATTGCTCATTTTTGGGTAGGCTCCATTAGATTTGATAACCAAATATCCCAAGTTGTTCTCAACTGGTGGGTCACTGCATGCCTTCCACTTTTCTAGGCGAGAGGCTCCTCAGCCTCCCCCTAGCGCAGCACTGTTCGTTCTCACGCCAAGCAGCCATTCAAAATTTGCTGCCCGGTGCCAAGTGTCAGCTTGAGGTGGGGTGGATTGGGTGTATGGCTGCAAGGGACCTCTATTTATACATGCATTGCTTACAGCTTCCTCGCATGTCCCGTAGAGGTGCCTGGACCGGAGTGACGTCACATTCTGGCTACACGGCGCAAAACATCAGTTGTACAAGCAATGCACACATGGATGGAGATTCGTAACAGCAAAGCAGCCAATACTGACACCAGGCTGAGGATCCAGTTCTTGTAAGATAGGGAGACTGGGTGGATGTGTCATAATGTGTCTGTGGTTGTGTGCGTCTGTCAGTGTTTTTGAGGGCTTGTTCACACGCACTGTAACACGCAAAATTGCACCTACCGCAAATTCTGGTGTGCGAAGTGTGTTGCGTTGCCATTAATTTGAATGGCACCCCAAACGCACCTCCCACCCACAGTTCGATCGCCCACACTGGAATGCGCGGTACCGCAATGCCGTGTGTTCCAGTGCGGTGAGACTTGGGTCATGACTTAATGACCAAGGACAAATGTAGGTCCTGAGGTTACACAGGGTGAGAACCACTACTCTGCATCATATCTTAAGCTGGTCATACACCTATAGATTATCTGCAGATTCTCTATTGTCAGATGGAAAAAGTGCAACAGATTCCTCCATCTACGCTAAAATGTGTGTATGGAGGAATCTCCCACTGGGCCAAGTTTCAGTATCTTGCTAGTCAGCTCTACTGGCTCTCAAAACACCTGAACAATGCCTGCATCCAATCAGATTGTTCAGGTATTTTGACAGCCAGCAGGGCCGACAACCTAGAAGGAGATCAAACCCGCAGAAGCCTAAATTTAAATATTCACTATTGGGTGAAAAACTATATGTCCAGACAAAACATTTTCTTTAGTTTTTGATAGAGTGGGGAGGGATAAGAACCCATGTAAGGTTTTTACTGCTGTCTCTCTGTTAGGTTTCCCCTTTGCTTTTTTTGTCTCTGTGACAACAGTTTTACCAGACAGGAAGCAAAGGAAAATCTGCAAAAGGGACACAGCGGTAAAAACAACCTTCCCCTCCCCTACTGAAAAAGAAGCTTTTTTGTTTGTCTGTGTTGCTTTGGAGATTTCCACTCACCCTTGGTGAAACCAGTGTCACTGGAACAGGAAGTAAGGTGGAATCTCTACAATCCCGCGAGAGCAGTAAAAACCTGACCAGGGTTCTAACCCTTGCCCCTCCCCCATCCAAATCAAAATTTTGGAAGGACATAGACATTTTTGGTTTTAAATAAAAGATATTGCATAGAAGAACTGTTACCAGTCATGGATACCATAAACATGTATATACAGTTTCAATAATTAAAACAAGAAAATAAATATGAATTGCTTCCATGAGAGGAAATTTCTAGCATGTTTTAGGTTATCAGTATTGCTTAGGTCCTCTGAATAAAAAAGGATTTTGACCCTTTGTCCATGATGCGAGATCTCTTTCTCCTAGGTCACTTTAATGGAGTCCTGTGTAGTCATTGGCAGAGAAAATGGGAGTGGGCCATCCCCGTTCACCGTTCGGTAAAAGTGCTGCTCCTTGTCACGCTGTAGTTGTTCGTGAAGCTGTTTCTCTTTTTCTAGGGCCACCTGAGCGTCCAGCAGCTCTTCTGTCAAACGGCTACAACAAAACAGAGAATGAAACGATGACTTATGTGTGTACGAGAATGTAGGGAACTCTTTGGAAGTCACAAATACTTTCGGCAGAAGGTGACCTTTAAAAAGGTTTTTTTTTTAGATGTGGCTGCCGTCGCCCGTTCAAGTTAATGACCGTGTGACAGCAGCTGCATCTGTAAGCGGCAGTCTAACGTGTGCCCAGTAGCAGTAATCTATTCCAAACCAAACGTAATTGTAGCACATACGATTACATGTGGACTGACGCTTACAGATGAGACTGCTGTCACCTGTTCAGTAACAGTGGCCGCATCTAAACCAGAGGTTTAGGATTACTGCTGGAAGGAAGCAGAGATCTTGCGGCACTCCTTACCTGGACATCAAGGGGCCCGTGAAGACAGGTGGGTGCTTGTAGTGACCACGGATGGCACCGTGAGAAACTCAAATGAAGAAATAACGTCACCAGCACTCCAAATGATAATTTAGCAATAGTCCATTTATTGACATATTGCCATTCAATGCAAGCGCTTTCGGGGCCTCAAGGGGTCCCCTTCATCAGGCTCAGTCATTCTGAATGCATTGTTTTATTCTTCACATTGCTGGAAGGAATCCCAAATCGCACATTCACGCATAGTGTGAATGTAGCCTGACAGTCCAAGTTTCCAAGTGGAAATAAGAAAAGTGATAGAAATTATATTCAAAAGTATACTCCAATCATTTTTAAGGCAATTCTACTAGTTATATCTGTGATAAATAAGTCAAGGCAACTGGACTTGCTGTATTTTTTTTTGAAGACGTTTCACTGGTCATCCGACCAGCTTTCTCAATTCAGAATTACATTCTGAATTGAGAAGAGTCATTCTGAATTGAGAAAACTGGTCGGATGACCAGTGAAATGTCTTCAAGAAAAATAGAGCAGGTCCAGTCGCCTTGACTTATTTTTTACAGATATACCATGACCTGGATAAATGAGAACCTTCACAGACACAATTCTACTAGTTATTCCCCGTTCATTAACGAATTCACCTTTGGGGTCGGGTATTATTTAGTCATCCATCAGCCTATTTAAGCACGTCGTTACTGGATCAATTTTAAAAAATTTCACACACATGTTAAAATTTGAGTTTTTTGCTAGAAAATAGTTTTAAACCCCAACAATTATATATTTTCTGAAAGCAGAGGCCCTGAAGAATAAAACAAAAATGCTAGTTGCGAATTTTTATGTTGCACGATACTTGCACAAATGTTTATTAAATCCACATTTCTAGGAAAAAACACACTCCAAAAATTTTTCGTGCAAACTATGGTAAAATCGAAACTGGCATATATGATGCAGTCAGTCACTGGCATTAATACTGTGCACATTGGTACAGCAAACCTGGTATTTTTCTATTTCCAGTAATAAGGTGACAACACTGTTTGTTCTGAGGTGAAATTTCAGGGTTGTCGCCATATGCGGCAGGGTAGTCTTATGCTAACCATACGTAGTCTGAATTTCAGTCATATCCATTTGGAGCCATGGGTGGCCGATTCGGCACCAGCAGGCTTGACAAACTTAAATTTTAAAAATCAAAGGATCTGGGTGGAAAATTGTCAGCCAAACAGTGTACATCCAATCATACAGACTGCATCATATATCTCATTTTATTTTGCATAGGTACATTTTAAAGCCTCCAGGACACTGCCAGAGTGACCTCCTATACTGCCATTAACTCCATACTAAGCATCATTGTCACTCAGCTATATGTAATCCTATGTGGTGTCTACCACCAATATGCCACAAAAATCATTTCTGAATAAGAATATATGTAGAATCAAAGTGTTGCCAATGCAGAAAGCAGTGGGCAGGACTAGATGCTGCCAAGTGTTGATTGACAAGCTGCCGGCTTGTAACAATGCTGATAGTCATGCTCCTTGCAACATGCATCATGCCGCTATAGTGCAAGCAGGCAAAGCCTACAGAAGAGTAACAACACGGCACTGAAATCAGTAGCATTGTTGCCTTGCCATCACTGGATGCTGCATTAGGTGGACTTCACTAGTAGGATAAACAGGCATTCATGGGACTTTGCATGGGGGAGCTAAGAGAAAACTGTAAGTGCAGATGCACTTATAATTAAGTGTTGGAAAACATTTTTTGAAAAGGAGGCGACATTTTCATTTTAATGATTAGTGTCAAAGCTTACATGGTCATTGCTGCCTGGTTCTGGGCCTGGGCTCGTAAGGCTTCAATCTCCTGCTGCAGACTGTGGACTTTCTCTTCCAATATAACATTCCTGTCCATCTACCATAAAAACAGAAGGAAATCATCATCATCTGTGAAAGCAAAACCCAGGGTGATACAAATAGGACCATCATACAGAAAAAACAGTGCTATGGAGCCAAGGTAGATCAGATTCGGATTGCCAGGTGCTGTAGAACTACAAATCTCTGCAAATTTCTCCAGCAAGCTGCCCAAGCTTCATGGTAAGCAGAGTGATAAACAAAGAACAATGAAACCAAATGAAAGATGTGGGGTAAGGTGGCTGCACATAAAAATCGAACAAGAAAAATACTAACTCCCTCTGCTTTGTTTTTGTAAATGGCCAATATGAAAATGCTTGGATAAAGCTATGGCATGTGACCCATCTGCCTGTTCAGAGAAAGTCTTGGAACATTTTCCTGTTAAAGTGAATCTAAACTTTATTACAAGACTGTAATCTTTAACTTATCAATCGGCATACAGCATATATGTCTCAGACAAAATCAGGGTTTCACGCATACTTGTGCTTAATCATAGAGCATTGGATCCAAGAGGACTGACCTGGAGCAGCACCTAACACACGTATCTGACTGTGGGCCTAGGCTCCATCCAGATCTAGTCCCCGGTGAGCCGGTCACAGTGTTGGCCCAAATTTCTTAGGCAGTCAGTAGCACCTCTCACTTACATATCCCACCCAGCTCATTGACTAGGTAACTGATGAAGCATATGAACTACAGCTGGAGGTAGCCATGTCCTGCTGTCAGGCAAGTGTTAGAGGCATTTTAGGTGGAAGCTGAAGGCACAAACTGTCAAATCAATCACAGGAGTAGCCAAAAAGGACAGTCCTTCCATTACTAATAGATGGTGTACAGTTTGTTCACCCAATGTCACTGTATATCTTTCTGAATCTCTAGTTGTATATTGTCTACACCTGAGTTCCCAGCTCCACCCACCTATAACAACGTCAGGAAGTTAATACTCTCCTGCTGGATTTCTCATTTATTTTACATTACAGATGACCTTGGAAAGGTGAAAAGTCTGAGACTCTACCATAGGGAAAGGCTGACCTTATTGCCAGAGACCCTGAGTTATGTGCAAAGCCATTGGGTAATTTATGAAATGCGGCAGCTTCCAAGTATGTGTTTCATTAAAATAGCTCAGCTCCTCCCTTCAGCAACTTCATATAAAACAGAAAATAGTAAAGCTGAAACAATTAATTCCAAAATGGTCACCACAATCAGCTAGCATACAGCACATTTCAAATCTTACCGTAGCTTGCTGGGCCTGGAGCCTTTTTTCTTGTTCCCTGATCCGCTCGCTTTTCATTTCAATTACAAAATGCAGACTTTGTAGCTCCTGTTCCCAGAATTCACCAGGGCTACCATGATCCTATGAATTAGAAATCCGTATTATTAATAACTTACAACCACCTGCGATTCAACATGATTTAGAGAAGACAAAACGTGCTTTGTGGTAAATGTGAAGGTGTTAATGGAAATGTATCATATTTTAAAATCTTCCTTTGAGGTGCTTGTCAAAATAAAAAAAAGAACATATTCAGTACATCTGCAGTATGCGCACATTTCCCCACGATGCTGCAAGTACACAAAATACCTTTTGATCTGCCATTGAGATCCTAACTTCCTGTTTGAGCGGACAACACAGTGCCTTTGCTGCACTGAGCAAGCAGTGTTTTCAGTCCTGTCCAGGTCTTCTCTCTTGGACTGCAGAACACATTCCCCTCTGCTAAATTCCATCAGGGGGATGTCCTGTAGTCCAGCAGGGGAGAATACAGGTACGCCTGACAACGCTGCTTGGGATATCAGTGCAGCAGAGGCTTAATACAGAAGTTAATGGCACACTGAATTTCTGGTAGAGCATTTTTAAAGGGATACACATGGAAAAATGTGCAGAGATCTACTGAATATGTTTTTAAACGTTTTATAAAACTCCAAAGACATGCTGGTAGGTTAATTGGCTCCTCTCTAAGTTGGCCCTCTATGTATGCATGTGAAAAAGGGACCTTGGATTGTAAGCTCCTTGAGGGTAGGGACTGATGTGAATGTGCAACTATGCAAAGTGCTGCGTAAATTGTCGGCGCTATGTAAATACCTGTAATAAATAAATAAAGAACATGTGCATTTCCAGACAAAGCGCACTTATTATTATTGCCTTAAGCCAGTGGTTCTCAACCTTTCTAGGGCCGGGACACCTTGGTAACATTTGCCAAGTTGAGGTGACCACCAAAGGTAAAATTTAGGGATGACGCGGCTGCTGCAGCGACATCTGGAGGCGTGGCGGGAGAACTGACACTGCTGTGCTAGGAGAGAGCTGAGGAGGACTCTCACCTAGCACAGCTACCCACAGGTTGAGAACCACTGCTATAGGCAAAGACAGGACCGGGCTCTGCAGCTGGAACTAGAAGAATTGGATTTAAAGTGTGTGGCTATATAACGTATGAGGTACATACTCCGCAGTACTGTCACTGATAGGGATGGGCTCGGGCGTGTTCGCAGCTCCACGTGCCGAGCCCGCCAGGAAGCTGACAGCGCCAATCACAGGCACTGAGACATTTCCCGATCTCTGCAGCTGCGGACCGGGAAAATGGAATGCATAGCTAGAGGTGTGTTTTACATATTTTTTTGCTTGAATACATACATATTGCACCCGCCCTCTGCTGCTGTCAATCACTAGAAGGGGACCTGATGGAGAACTTCAGGTCCCCCTCTGCTGATTGGCAGCATCAGAGGGCGGGTGCAATAGCTAGTTTGCTATTGGCTTTTGCAAAGTGAAAGTTTTTTTCTGACTTACGGTGGCCCCCGATTTAAAAAAAAAAAAAACAGAGCAGAGAAAGGTCCCGACCTTTCTGGGAGAAAGTGTTTCTCTCCCGGTGGCCGAGAGCCACTAGGCGACCCCTGGCAAATCGTCATTCGACCCCCGAGGGGGTCCCGACCCACAGGTTGAGAACCACTGCCTTAAGCTCTTTTTTTTTTATAATGTTTTAGACTTTTTTTTTTGGAGTCCTATAAGTTCAGTTCACACCCCTGTGCTGTAGTGTAGCTAGAAGAAAAAAAATATTAGGAAAAATAATACTTGTTTTCAGCACAGCGTGTTGTGACAATTCAATAAAGAAAAACTTAAAACATTTGATGTGTCATAACAGTGTTCACTTTACAGCACATGCCAGTCGCTGTGGTATAACATGCAAACGAGCCCTTAGTCACTTTGTCGTTTGTATGCAGCTAGCAAATATAAAGGTAATGCAATGCTCAGGTTTGAACGGGCCCATTGAGAATAATGGGATTCTTCATCTTGAGTGTTGTCATACTTTGGGAATCGCGTGACAAAACGATCAGGTTTGAACGGGCCCATTGAGAATAATGGGGCTCTTCATCTTGAGCACTGCCACGCTTTGGAACTTGAGCGTCAAAACGCTAATTTTTAAATGGGGTCAACAGGTTTTGTGCTCCTTAGAATTGCTTCTCTCCCCATCTAATGTAAATGGGAGTTCAAAACCATTGCAAAGCAGGTTGATGCCGTTTAGGAGGTCAAATGAAGGCCAAAAGAGGTCAACTGCACCTGTCAATTAACAGAATGATCTCAGACGCTTCTCAAATCAATGTCAACATGCAAGCAGAATGCACCTGAAATCCAGCTTCATTTGCCCATCGACATGCCCCAAAAAAGTCAACGCAGACACTTCAAATAACCTAGCCCCGAGGACTGCAAAACTCACAACATGACGCTCCTGTGCCATGACCTGTTCTCTAACAGATAGGTATTAGGGCATTTTTAACTCCAAGGTCTGCATTCGGTAAAAAGCAACAAGTGTTGTCCTCCCCTTTCCTGGTTCCTGAGCCCCACATTCCAAAGCTGCAAAAGAAATGTGGTAATCACTTTGCCAGTGTACCACCCACGTCCTTGCGGAAACTTCACCCTGCACAGACAAATCCGACATCAGTGTCCCGGCTCATGACAGTGAAACAAAATATGTATTCGAGAAACTGGTATTACATACTGAAATATGTAAGCATCTGGTTTAAACTTTTGAACTTCTTAAAAGGCACCTCCTGCATTGTCTGCTAGGAACACAAGTCGGCTCCTTTCAAATTCCTTCCTGCGTGATTACAGGGAGGCCTGGAATCTGGCAGCGCACCTAAGTGTGGACAGATTACCAAAGGCAAAGGATTACTGTACTGTGCCCTGAAGTAACTGTTTGTGTGTGAGGAACACCGGATAAAGAACACTTCAGTGAAATAAACAGAACCTACACGGAGTACCGGTTCAAAGCCAAGAAAGATCTTTCATTATGCACGTAGACAATACTCTGCTCAACAGAGGTCAAACCATCACAAGCTGATATTTCCAGTGTATCTTTATCTAAATTATATATTTTTTTTAAATTTTGGATGGAGTGTGGGAAGGGTAGAACCGTTTGTCTCTGCTAGGGAAATTTACCCCTCTGCTGATAACTGTGGTCACTTGGATGAATAAAGAAAGTGATGGGAAATCCAAAATGTTACGGGTGCATGGGCGACCGAAAGCGAGAGGACAAAATATCCTTGAATTTTCGTGCTCTGCCCTTTACAAATCCGCCATTATGAAACCAGTAATGTAAAATAATAAGAAAACTAACATCTGAGAGTCAGAACCCCTTCATATTGGCAGGTGGGACAACCTGTTAATAGCATCCACCTAAAACTAACAAATATATTTTGGGTTTGGGGTCAGTATATGAGATTTCCTGGGGTAAAGTGAACCTGTAATTTGTCCATGCAGGAATTCGACAGGTGATCTCTACCACAGGATGGCATCCACAGAAAGATAGCCAATCAGCATCTCTGCCTAAACTCTAATCCAGGTCAAACAACCGGTCAGTTTTAATAGATTAGCCCATACACAGGGGGGGGGACGGGACGGGACACACACACACAAAGAAACGGCTGTATGACGACCACATACTGTACACTGGCCAAGTTTTTCTTGTCTCATATCTATTAATATTGATCAGTTGCAAGAGTCATGACTTAACAGCTTAAAGGGACTCTGCCCTTTAAGCTGATAAAATAAAATAAAATAAAAAAAACTGCTACAGGTGTAAAAAAAACAAAAAACCCGCACATAGCAATTGCCTGCACAAACCGCAGCAACTTAAAGAACCCATCAGATACAGGTAGTGTCACAGCTTGAGGCTATCCTCTGGCTCCACACAATCCTATTAACCTTTAAGTATGGGCTGCCCCACTGGCCAATAGAAAAGGAGACAAGAAGGGGCAGACAAGCTTCAGGAACTATGAGGAAGTACCGAAGTTTTGCCAGAATGTTAAAATGGCTGCAGATATGTGCAGGCATCTCTAGATGCTATTACAGCTATCTAAACCAGCGTTTTGCAACCTTTTTTCAGCCACGTCACCCTTTAAAAGTATGCAAATATCTCCAGGCACCCCAGTCTAAAATGTAAAAACCGTAAATGTAAAAATGCATACCAGACCCTTATCCCAGATAGGGGTCTGGTATGGATTTTAAGGGACAAGCCCACAAAAAAATGGAGCCCCCCTTCTCATTTGAGTTCCCTTTTAAAATCAGGACCCCCATTTTACATTAGGAGCCCCCTTCACATCAGAAGTCCCTCTTTTTTACATCAGAAGCCATCTTCCCATTAGAACCCCCCTTTTATATCAGGAGCTGCAGCATGGCGGAGGTTGGGAGGAGGTGCAGGCCTGGAGAACTACCAACCTTTTCTGAATGGATTCCACCCTCACTGGATTACCACCATTCATTTCCATGGTGCTGGTCAAGACTTTGAGGCACCCCTGAGGAAGCTAGAAGGCACCCTGGTTGAGAAAGGCTGTTCTATATACACTGGAGTTTCTAATAAAAAGGTAACCAGTGATACTACCTGCTGTCTACTATGAAAAGAAAAAACAAAGCTGGGTTAAAATAAGGTCCTTCATATAAACCATAGAAAATCTAACAGTGGGCCTATGCTTTGCCCCTGCAAGAGCAAATTACAGGTTATCTTTAGGAATTTTTCAGATGGTTATGCAAAATGTAAATCATTCATTGGGTTACCCCAATTCTTTGAGGGTTCTGCTATGGTCATAAGATGCGGTATTTGATGTGTTGTTATAGCCATAAAATAAGTTTTATTAGACTGGCTGTAAGAATTTTAATATAATACCTGAATGTGTATTTTGTAGTCTTGATTCAGGACTGACTCTTCGACCCGTTTCATTTTCTCTTGGAAGGATGCCAACTGCCCACTTAACTCAGCGACAGTCTCCTGCAAAGAAAATAAATCAGTTACTATGCTTATGTGATAGGCAATATAAAGAACAATGACAGTATGCAAAGTGCAATAACCACAGGAACTATCCAGTATTAAAGCTCATTCACTACTTTCCTTATGTTAACATAAGCCCATTCATTTCAATGCAGGAAAAATTCACCTATACAATTATTCACACTAGAGCACACTACAATGCACAGAACATTCACATGTGTGTTGTGGTGTGCTATATATCAGGTGTGTTAAGGTCTACTGTAAGTGTGTTGGGGTGCTATTCAGAATGAATAGCACTGAACTTAGATGCTGACTCTTTAAGTCTGACCACTGGACCAAGTGAGTTACACTATATTGCCAAAAGTATTGGGACGCCTGCCTTTACACGCACATGAACTTTAATAGCATCCCAGTCTTAGTCTGTAGGGTTCAATATTGAGTTGGCCCACCCTTTGCAGCTATAACAGCTTCAACCCTTCTGGGAAGGCGTCCACAAGGTTTAGAAGTGTGTCTATGGGAATGTTTGACCATTCTTCCAGAAGCACATTTGTGAGGTCAGGTACTGATGTTGGACGAGAACGCCTGGCTCGCAGTCCCCGCTCTAATTCATCGCAAAGGTGTTCCATCGGGTTGAGGTCAGGACTCTGTGCAGGCCAGTCAAGTTCCTCCACCCCAAACTCACTCATCCATGTCTTTATGGCCCTTGCTTTGTACACTGGTGCACAGTCATGTTGGAACAGGAAGGGACCATCCCCAAACTGTTCCCACAAAGTTGGAAACATGAAATTGCCCAAAATGTCTTGTTATGCTGATGCCTTAAAAGGAAAACTATGGGGTTAAGGCTTTTCCCCATAGTTCTCCTTAGGGTAACAAAGAAGTATGATTCGTCACTCAAGAGAACACCATCTCCACTTCTCTCGAGTCCAGTGGCGGCGTGCTTTACACCACTGCATCCGATGCTTTGCATTGCACTTGGTGATGTAAGACTTGGATGCAGCTGCTCGGCCATGGAAACCCATTCCATGAAGCTCTCTACGCACTGTTGTTGTGCCAACCTGAAGGCCACACGAAGTTTGGAGGTCTGTAGCTATTGACTCTGCAGACAGTTGGCGACTTCTGCACACTGTGTGCTTCAGCATGCGCTGACCCCGCTCTGTCATTTTACGTGGCCTGCCACTTCGTGGCTGAGTTGCTGTTGTGTCCAGTTGCTTCCAATTTGTTATAATACCAATAACAGGTGACTCTGGAATATTTAGTAGGAAGGACATTTCACGTAACACCTGAATCCAATGATTTGGAGGGCTGTCCCAATACTTCTGTCAATATAGTGTATGTCAATATATGGCCTTTGCACTTCTAAGTGTCTTCACCATTCAGAACATCACTGAGTACAAAGTCACTGCTCTTTGCACTCCCTTACTGATTAAGGCACAGATATCATTATGTCAGCAGCTTTTACAGTCTGATTTCATCGTAAAGTGCATTTAGACTCACAGCCAAATTGGGATAACACCTATTTAATCTTTGTTGCATGTTCTCATTCACATAGCATAAGCTAAATGAAAATATTTTAAAAATGCATTCTCCAGTTTAAACAGCTCTTACTTGGGTTACTCGGTTTCTTGGCTTGGGGTTAAAATTTCTACTTGCTTCTCCTTTGTAATGCTAGGAGGGGTTGTGATGGGTTTAACCCTGTCTGTACGGTGCTGGCTGATTTAGTTATAATTTGTAATGGTGATTTGAACATTGCTTATTCTAAGAAATGGTTAAAGAATGTATAGCCTGTCTTCTGAATTGTATGTTAATAAAGTTAATGAGAAAAACACAATCCTCACATTTCAGTCCCTTTCTAAAAAGGACAGATCACTGTGAAGGTGCTCAAAAAAACCTGGATTCAAGCATTTTGCCTGCTGCAACAAAACATAAAAAATTATAAATATATTTTTTTGCATTCGACTGCAAAAGTGGAAATACACTAAGATAAGTTATCATTTCCAGTTATCCAAACCCTATATACAACCTCACCCAATAATTATTAGTGGCCTGTACGTTATATGATCTCACGCACAACACAATTTTTGTATAATTCAGCTACCTCATGTATCATTTCCCCCTCCTCTTTTAGATTGTAAGCCCTCAGGGGCAGGGCCCTCCTTACCATCTTGTCTTGAATTGTATTGCAACTGTAATGTCTTCCTTATATTGTAAAGCGCTGCACAAACTGTTGGCGCTATATAAATACTATGTAATAATAATAATTCAACTTTAGTCTAGATTGCATAATCCAGTTGAATCTTTCATCTAGATTGGCCTCTTTCCTAGCAACTGGAGATTAGTTAATGGACAACTGTCAGAAATATGGGTGTTACCCTTGCTGAATAGCTTTCAAAACAAAACAAAAAAACTTAGGGGTTCAATTATCACCATTCCACCATTTAGGAAATTCCTAAACTCATCAGCACCTCTAGGGGCACTAATGCCATAAGATAGCAGGGCAGAACTTTATAAATGAACCCCTATGGGACTGTTAAGACTATCCTTACTTCAATACTCAGTCTCTAACCAAATAATCCGGCCAGCAATCTCAACTACACAGGCTGTATTCTTGTTCTGGAACAGCGAATCACTAAAGCAGTGAGGCAAGAATAAAGATGTCACTCAATGAGCGTGCACCCTCAAAAGGAGTTACTGTATTTTCATTCTGACGGATTCCAGACAGCCTGAAAAATATATACCTGTGTCTCCATCACATCACGGGGTAGACAAATGCACAAGGCGACCCCACAAAGGCTCCAGCTTTTTGAAATTCTTTCCACCAGTGCCTAAAGCTGGCCATATACCTATAGATTTCCTATGGTCAGATGGAAAAAGTTCAACAGATTCACCATCTACACTAAACTGTGTGGATGGAGGAATCCCCCACTGGGCCAAGCTTCAGTATCTTGCTAGTCGGCCCCGCTGGCTGTCAAAATACCTGAACAATCTGATTGGATGCAGGCATTGTTCAGGTGCTAAGCAAGATACTGAAGCTTGGCCAAACGGGAGATTCCTCCATCCACACAGTTTAGCATAGATGGAGGAATCTGTGGCACTTTTTCCATCTGGCCATAGAAAATCTGCACAAAATCTATAGGTGTATGTCCTGCTTAAATCTACTTATCATAGAAAGGGCTATTTTTTTAAATTACATTTTATTGGGGTGATATTATATGACCAGTTTAGATTCTGCTTCCTTCTTATATTCTCATGTTGATTATGCACTACTTCATTGCAAGTTAAACAAGCTTTTAATTATGTTGCAAACCGATAAAATCAGCAGACCTGAAGGGAAGTGGTTAACGTTTCGTACGTTTCTTTGAGAGATGCCTTTTCATCATCATAGTGCTTCTTTAGCTCTGTTGGAATAAATACAGTGCAGTCATTTCCTCCCAAAGTAATGCTGTACACACATATACATAAACCCTAAGTGCAAAACACATAAGTGCAAAAAGGTTTCACTTCCTTTATAAGAGATGGTAATCCACACTACACCCTGCTACATATAACATACTACATTTACAGCTGCTACATAATAATGTCCCCAAGAATTCGAAAGACACCCAAGATCTAAGAAAGATCTAAGACAAATCCTATCACAGCCGCAAAAATAACAATAGAATGATGCCAAGGATTCTATACACATCTCTAAGGGGCCCATTTATAAAAGCAGAGGTGTGGTCTAACCATGGCCATACTGCTGCTTTTCTATTGAAAGCATCTCTGGAACATTCAAAAATGCTAAGCAAAGGTTTGTGCCTCCTTTGCTTCGAGACTCTGAAAGCATGCTAAAAGCTATTTAGTCTAATAAATGGGGGACAAAATGTGGCAGGGGGGGAGAAAAGCTGTCACATGATGTGTAAAAGATCATGTGGTGGTGTACATCCATATAGATGTGGATGAATGCCCCTGGATGCAGACTGTCTGTACAGATGTGCACGCTCGCAGCAGCAGTTACTCGCATACTGCTGTAGCAGGTCATCGACTTATACAGCATGACACCTGTGGCTCCTGGGTTCATAGATATGGACAGCTTTTGCGGTACATAAACACCTCACCTAAGTGTATGAATCCTAATACATCCCTAAGTTCACAGCAATTTAAAAGTCAACCTTGGCCTTGCCTTCTCCCTAGGCTCTTGGTTTGTGGGGCTGCCCATAACATTAAAAGGACCAATTAAGGAGGTGGGGAGGGGTGAATCCAAGCTCACCTTTCTTTTAAATTATTTAGCTGTATATCTACATATTTTATTAAGTGGTTGTTTTCACAGAACATAACCATTGTGTGTGCATTTTTTATTTTATGCTCAGTGTAAATTGCCCCAGTTTGTGACTTATGAATTTAAAGGCGCATCGGGATAGAACAAAAAAAAATGCACATTTATGAGTAAAAATAAATAAACTTGACCAAGGAATGTTTTTTCCTCTATTTGTGACCAGCCTATAATGTACATTTTCACTACATTTCTTATAAAGTTATCTTTTGTCCTTCAGAAGGAATGAAAAAAAGATGACTCAAACCTGCATGACACCCACAGCTGCTTCTGTTTTACCTTCAAATCTGTTATCCAGTTCAGCTTTCAGACATGAAGCCTGTTCTGCAAGACGTTTTTCCAGGTCTGCTTCCGCATCTTGTTTAGCCTGTAGAAAAGCAACAATATTGATCAATGACTGTGTAAAAAAAATCCAAACTTCGAGCAAATGAGTCCACCATTGTCAAGGCACCTTCTTCCCAGAGTGGAGAACGAGCACTGCAGTCCGGGATTGGCACTGACCAGTCTTGTTGCAGCCCACTGTCATGATATCATCACACCATTGCCGGCTTATGGTGTCTGAGAAGACCCCCATACTGGACAACTAATGGTAAGTGATCACATCACCCAAGCAGTGTGGTGGGCACCTGAAGAAGGATTCACTGCAGTCCAGAAGGGAGAAGACTCAGTACCCAGGAGTGTCACATGACCACAAATACAGGAAAAATAAAAAAGGTGTTTTTTTTTGTAGTGGGGCCGGGGTGGTGGTGGTGGTGGGGGGCTGAGTTTCCAGACAAGAGCTATAAAAGCTCGACTTGAAGTAACTAAATACACATTTTAAATACACATATGCACAAGGCATTATAATTCCATCCAGCCATTTTTGTTATTCATTCACATCTACCAGACAGCACACCCAGGAAGGTGACACTACTTTCTCTGTCAGAATTAGGGAATACAGTGGTGTCACCTCTTCAGCCTGCTGAAGGAGCACCACTATGATTAGTTATCAGCTCTTCCTGGCAGTACATGTGCATGAAGCAGAGCCTGGTTGGCTGCTAGTGCTGCCCCCCTTCTATCAGTATGAGTATTGCAGACAGAGCTTGACAGTATAATATATAAAACAGAGCTGGGTAGTCATGCTATTTGTATTTTAAACACAACTCCAACCAGAACACAGACCGAAATAAAAAAAAAAGCTCATGGAAGTTCTAGCCCTCCCTAACCTACTGAAAAAAAACATGGTTCTAAATTGTCTGTGTTCCTGTTGTTCTTGTCTGAAGAAACAGTTGTCACCAAGACAGGAAGTGAAGGGAATTCTTTCTAACAAAGCCCCAGACAGCAGTAGAAACCTGGAAAGGGATCCCTTTAGATCCAAATCAAAAAGTTTTTGATGGACATTCACTTACTAACTTAAAGGGAATATACAATTGCTTTAAGTGGCGTTTGTTCATATATGGCGATTATATGTCAGTTTTAAAATAAAGAGGAAGTTGTAAAAAAAAATGTTTATATATATATATATATATATATTACATATATACACATACATATACACAAACTGTATATTAGGGTTATATATTGTGTCTAAAAGTAACAAGGGATTTGTACATTTTAATATTTTTTGGACCGATTAAGACCTTTGTCAGGTTTTTTTTTTCTGTTCTGTCTGGTCCGTTTTCTTTCACTTCCTGTATTAGAGACACAGCAAGAAGTGACAGGAGATCTCTCCAAAGCCAGGGGATAGACCCTCTTAGACAGCTGCCACCAGAACAAGCCTCCTCATTGGAAGATTTCCCCTTACACATTTCCTGTGGCATTTCAAAAACATTGGATTTCCCATTACTTTTTTAACCGGAGTCACCAAAACAAACAAACAAACAAACAGAGAATGTACCATCCCAACGGGGACACAAAACAATAAATTTGATCCAAAACTTTAAAAAAACTTTTTTAAAAAGGAAGTTTTTGTTTTACATACAATTATGTTCAGCGACAATATAATAAAATCAGAATGTGTTCAGAGGCCTTGCCATGTGACGTAAAGGTAAATACACTTTCACTGTGCAATGTTCTAACAATTTAGAATAAATGAACACCCTTTTCCGTGCTGACTTCTATTGTCAACTGTCTCTCTGACAGTCCTATACCTACAGATTGCACCTGTATAAGCTGTTCTCACTGGACTCAAAGTTCAGATTAAGGTAACAATGCAAATGGATTCTTTATACAATGCCATTACTCACAAAACAAACATTTTGCGGTTTAGCGTCTTTCCCAAGCAGAACAAAGCTCCATATTGGCAGACAACATTAAAAGAACACGTCAGTCTTGTTCTATCCATTTCTCTATCCATTAAGTCGTAAATACGTACACGGAACACATACGGTCAATGAGCTGACGTAATTACTTGTTGTGGTGAAGGTACAAGTGAATGGGACACAGCATCAATATTTATTAACTCTTTTCTAGCACCTGCTGATAATAGGTGTTCAGGAGGCTACTTGACTTGGTGTCTGTGTCATCAAGGCCTTTAAGCATATCTGTACTTTGCCCATGCAGAAGAGAGCAAGAGGTTTGCGGTTAAGTGTATGTATATCCAAAAATGTTTTTTTTCTTCTTTTGGATAAAGGGAGTAAGAATTAGTGGGAGGTGACTTCCTTTCATACACTATAGGACCAAAAGTATATAGCTACCCCTCCAAATTATTAAGTTCAGGTGTTTCCAGTAGGGATGTTCAGATATCAGTATGTGTTGGTGCCGACACTTGGCATTTTCACGAGAACTACCAGGGTTGCAGCGGTTGCAGCTGCGTCTGGACCCTGGCGCTCCACCACTGTCCCGAAATCAGTAGTCTGTATTGTTTTAGAAAAACTGTCACATGACACTTAACAAAAATGTATCAGTAGTTGGTATCTGTGCGCAATTGGACAAGTATCGGTGCTTGTACTTGGTCTGGAAAAAATTGTATTGTATTATCTATCTATCTATGGTCATACATTAAAACTGGGATGCACAAATCCCAGGAGCTCCGTAGCCAATGCTCCTTAAAAATTACAGCGGCTTCCTAACGTTTGAGTTTTTCTCTAGTCCAGTCTTGGAGCTGGAAAAGTATTAGTACTTGTATCAAGTAAGGTACTTGGCATCTGTGCATCCCTAGTTTCCAGTAAAGGGTACTGTAATTACTATAGAATACACAGACATTTTAGACAACTGCGTGCGCTTTTAACCTTGTGGAAATAGTTTGGGAAAGGCTCTTTAATGTTCCAGCATTTATGAAGCCAGCTTCATAAATGTATGGTTTGATGAGTTTGGTGTGGAGGAACCTGAGTGAGTTGCACACTCCTGACCTCAACCCTACTGGACACCTTTTGTATAAATTGAAATGCTGTTTGCGAGCCAGGTCTTCTCGTCCAACAACAGTACCAGACCTCACAAAAACTCTTTTGGCTGAATGGGAACAAACTCCCTCAGATACTCCAAAATCTTGTAGAAAAAGTGAAGTCTGTTACTGGCCACAAAAGTGGTGGTGGGGGGTGCATGTGTCAACTGTATATTAAGGTACATGGTTTCGGAATGGGATATCCAATAAAGTCATAAAGGTGCGATGGGCAGGTGTCCATAAACTTTTGACCATTTAATGAATATACCCTAAGGGCCTGTTCACACCAGATGCAGTGCGTTCCGGCCCGATTCTAGCCAGAACGCACTGCCTCGCATTGCATCCGGCTCACTTTTTTGTGGGGCAGGAGGGGGCGTGGCGGGCCACACGGATCGCAAGGCACATTATGCCTGCAGTCCGGTGCGCTTAAAATAGTGCTTGCAGCATTTTGATCGGAGCAAACCGCAGGCATAACGTGCCATTCAATCCCCTGCGGCCGGAGGGCGTGGCTACGGTGCCATTCACTTCAATGGCCCGCCACGCCCCCTCCTGCCCCACGAAAAAGTGAGCAAACCGGCAATGTGAGGCATTGCATTCTGGCTAGAATCGGGCCGGAACGTACTGCATCTGGTGTGAACGGACCCCAATTCCGGGTACTGCCTAGGCTCAAACCAACTGCGTGTGTTAAAGTGCAGGTAACTGAGCCACTGCACAGGCCACTGATTTGAATTTCCCAGCTTCTCTGTCCAAATTAAGCAAACACTGCAGTCCTTTCAATCCATTGTCAGCCACACTATAGTCTCCCACTGCAATAATACTGCTGCATTGACACCTAGCTCTTTTAGTGAATCAATACTTCAACCAATTCTACGTCTGACCTTTTCCCTTAACTCCTGTGCCTGCTCCTCCAGCTTCTTTTTGTTGGCCTCTTCAATGGATATCTTCTCCTCAAAGTGGGCCTGAAGGAGATTTCTAATTTCTTGCTCATAGTCTTTGATTTTCTGCAAATTTTCACTTGATCCATTTCCTGTAAGATGACAAGAGTGAATGTCAGGCCAATATCTGTGTTTACAAAACAAAACTACTTTTTGATGGCCAGGGAACTCCATAAATGGATTTCTGGACTACTCTGACTAGCTATCAGTGATAAATAGACGGCATTAAGGTTTTGAATGGAACTAATATACACAACAAAAGGAGGGAAGGTATAGTCAATGTGTTGCCTACAACAAACAGTAATTCCAAAAGATGTCACCAGCACTCCAAAAGTAGATTCAATATATTTTAATGACAACGGTCATTCAAAATCATAAGTACTTTCGGGGCCACGTTGGGTCCCCGTCATCAGGCTCAGAATGAGCCTGATGACGGGGACAGAACGTGGCCCCGAAAGTACTTGTGATTTTGAATGACCGTTGTCATTAAAATATATTGAATCTACTGTTGGAGTGCTGGTGACATCTTTTGGAATTACTACTTGACTACACGGTGCCTCCGTGGTCGCTACAAGCACCCTATTACAGACATCATCTCCTAGTAGATCCGGTAAGGAGTGCAGGAAGATACACACAATTTTGCCTACAACAAACAATCTCATCCTTGCCCTCATTTTCTAACATGCTAAGGCAACTAAAATCAACTTGGAATGGCTGATAATCAATTAAATTAACCACTAGTTTCCTTTACTATAATATGTGTGGATCGTGGAGATCTTTCCCCAAATATGTTAGATGCACAATCAGCATCTCCCACATCAGTACAGGAAGTGATGGGAAATCAGGCCAATAGGGGCACAGAACTAGATAAACACACACATATTATTAAAAATAATTAACAGAAATTATAATAATTATAGCAGTTTAAGGGCCTTTATTCATTTTATTAGTAAAGTTGTCATTTAAGTAAACCTCCACACCCCTCAGTGAAAAATGTACCTTCTTTCCCACTCCAGAGATCTTCACTGTGTGGCCCTACCTAGTGCTGCACTGCTTCTACAAGCAAAACATCTGAAATAGGTTCTCTCTGTTATGGTGGCCTACAGACGAGTGCTGACCATCCATAGGGATGAATGGGGCCAAGGCACACATGCACACTAAGTTTTTTTTAACCTTTCAGACATCACTGATCAGGGTGGGGGGCTTACTTCACTTCAATTAAAGTAAAGTTGTTTTTTTAAGTTCTAAAAAACACAGCAGGGTACACAAAAAAACCCAGGAATCACACAGCCCTTTGTATTATATGCATGTTTAAAGCAAGACTAATTTGGTCTTTTTTCCTATACCTGTAATATATCTGCTAAAACAGTGCTACTGCAAAATGCTTTTCCATTTGAAGCAAGACTTTTCTTTGCCACCTGCTGCAATGCTGATCGATCTGCCTTCTCCATCTTCCAGCTGGGAGTAAGTAGAAAATGACAGCCACAAATGGAGAAGACTGATCCTGCATACCACAATGACATACATTTGTCGCTGGTCTTGCCATAGCTTGTCAGATAGAAGATCAAAGCCAGCTCTCTTACCAGCTATGTTGTTCAGCTCTTGAGAGGTCTGCCGGTTCTCCTTTGTTTTCTGACGACTCTGAAAGAAAGTGGGGACTTGTTTTTAACATGGTATTTGACAAAGTTTCAGGAGGACCATAGATACTTAAGGGTGGTTATGATGTGCAGCTATGTATTGACTACCCTCTGGCATCTGTTTTGGCCATCATATCCCTAACCACGAATGCCAACATGCCAATGAAGAAAGGTGAGGAAGGAGTGTTGCAGACAGCAGTAGTAGTGGCTTATTAGCAGAAACCAAAAGCGACTGGAGAGTTTTATGGCCTTGTTCCTTTCCAAATGAGCTGCAGCAGTAATGTCTGTGGGTTCCCCGAAGTCATAACATTTTTGCATAATACACAAAAAAAAAGCCAGATCAGGAAACTGTCCAAGGTCTATGGATGACAGTGGAATCTAAATTCAGATGGCTGTGGTTTATTTGTCTAGTGGCCTAGCTTTAAAGTACACCTTTCCTGAGAGAGATCTAGTTAGTGCCATGGATGACCTCCTATATGTGCTAATTGCCTGGCTGGCCCACTGGCTTCAACACAATCACAGACCTAAATTTTGCAAAGGAAAGTTGGAGGTCCTTATCTGTATACCTACTCCAGGAATGTACAGTATTGAAGCCAGAGGGTCACAAACAAAGCATGTTGCATGTGCAAAATAACAGCCTTCCTGTTTCAGAAAAGGCAAAATCCACCCCAAACTTTTACATTTTCTTTGTATAGAATGCAGTAGAATTAGAGCCTTTTATTGCGGTCTGTGTCCCTTTTGGGAAAATTTCCCCACACTTGCTGTCGAGACAGAAAGTGATGAGAGATCTTTCCAATGGGGACACAAGCAAAAACAAAAACATTTTTAGTAGAGTGAGGATGTGTAAAAATGTCTGGCAAGGTTTTTTAATCCTGTCCGTCTCTTCCTGTGCCAGTGACAACTGCGCCCCCTTATTACATGTACGGTCACCTGATCATTAACTTGAACGGGTGACAGCTGCCGCATGTAAACGGCAGATTAGGGATTCCTGCTGCAGGAAAACACAAGTTCCTGATGCAAGAATCCCTAATCACACCAAAACTTACAGCCTTACTCTTTTCCATCTCAATCCAAAACGGAAAAAAAAATAATATAGGCTGGAATTAAGCATTAAAAACAAAGAGACTTCTCACAAAAGGTGAATGTGGATTACTTCCTATTTAGATGAACAGTAAATTTTTATACCCAAGAATAAAATGAACACATACAAGTCAATTGGGAAGACAAAAGCAGCTTGAAACAGGCTGAGTCAGCCTAGGCAGTCAAGTGTAGGTCAGAAATAGATCAACTGCAAGAGATGCAATGAACTTTGTATGACATCAAAAACATCTTAAACCGATGTCAAATGCAAGTGAAATCCCCCTCATATTTGTCCCTTTCACCTTAGGTACAGCACCTTAAACCCTGATTAATAGAGTACCAATAAGGCTTTTTATATGCAATACCGGTCCCTTTTTGGGGGGCTTGCATGCATGCCTTGGATCCCACTTACATCACAAAGTGTACAAATTACTTTGTCCAAAGTTCTTTGTGTAAGTGCATCCATGGTTAGTTGTGGAAACTACTGTATATGCCCAATGTTTTTGTTTTTTGGGGGTAAAGAGTTGGGGCGGTTGTGATTTGTGTTGGTTTTTTTGTTGTTGTCTATCAAAGAGGTTTGCCTCAGTCTAAATTAAAATCAAGTGGAATCTATTTGAAAACAACTTACAACCTAGATTTTCCCTTCAACACAAACTCAAAGAAGGAATCCTATAATGATATCCAAAGCACTGAAAGAATTGTATTATGTGCAAAGACCAATTTCTGCATGGGCATCTTAGGCCGTGGCTACTTTCAATTTATGTTGACTCTCTCTAACACATTCCCGATGTATAATATAAGGTTCGAGACTACCATCACACCTGTCAGTGCAAGGTCGGTTCATCATTGCTACTGTTCCAGCACAAATCTGCCCCTTTTTTTTGATGGAATAGTGTTCTTACTTAGTGGTTGTCACCACGACAATAACCATCCAACCTGACAGAAGTTCAAACCCCATTTCACTGAAAAAAGTTTGTTGTGTTGCAGCCTGTGACCTCAACAAGTAAAAAGAAATCTTCCCAATGGGAAAACACAAAGCAAATAAAAACATGACTTACCAATCTTTTTCAAAACTAAAAAGAAAATAAAGTTTGGCTTTCGGAGGAAATGAGTATTTTCTGTCTAATAAAGGTAATAGCAGATGTGTCGGCTTTTAAAAAGGATGACAGGTTCACTTTAAAAATTGTTTATATGCGACATGGACCAAATGTAAGAGACCATAATAAAATCCCTAGAGCTTATTATCAAATAATGTGTAGCCTAGAAAGCCTTTCATTATAAGGGAAGGAAACATGAACACATAAACAACACAACACAACACACACAAAACAAATCTGCAAAGCAAGGTTAAGTAAAACATAAACCCAAGTATATTAACAAGGGAACCTGTCACACCAAAGCAAGTGTGTGACATATTAAAACACAAGTCCAATACCCTAGCATGCCATTTTAAAATACAAACAGCTTTCCATAATGCATAGTGGGATGCAGGGGATGTAGCATGGCACTCAGATATCAGTGCTGGAAATGCCTGCATTCCATGATGCAAAGCCTCTGGTTAGTCTGTCCTAATGACAGGTCCTCTAAAATGTACCGAATATCATCCCAACTATATGATCTAACCTGCATCTGGTGATGTCTATGGGTACCAACGGACACCCCAACCAACCACTAAGGAGAGAATTGCCGGCGACTGACGGGACGTTTTCATATGATGCTATTGTAAACTCCCTAGTCAAGGCTGGTGTTGGCACTGTATCCCTCCCTAATTAATATGGAAGGTCTAATAATAATAATAATAATACAAGCATGCATGTGAAGACAATTCCAGACTATTCAGGAGGCAATACAACTGTTCCGAATTCAAAGAAAATGAATTCTATTTAGGCTAATATGTGTTCTATGCATCCCTCTGCAGCAAGATTTTACATAGCTTCTCACCTGTGGTATGGGTGGGTCTGCTTTCCAAAGTCTGTGTTAAGCTGGCCATACACCTACAGATTTTTTGCAGATTTTCTATGGTCAGATGGAAAAAGTGCAACAGATTCCTCCATCTTCCCTAAACTGTTGTGGATGGAGGAATTTCCCACTGGGCCAAGCTTCAGTATCTTGCTAGTCGGCCCCGCTAACTCTCAAAATACCTGAACAATCTGATTGGATGCAGGCATTGTTCAGGTATTTTGAGAACCAGCAGGGCCGACTAGCAAGATACTGAAGCTTGGCCCAGCGGGAGATTCCTCCATCCACACAGTTTAGCGTAGATGGAGGAATCTTTTGACATGACTCCCGGAGAGAGATGCATCATGGGATTGTTGACCACAGCTGGACGGCCGGAGTTTGGCTACCCCTGCTCTAAAGAGCCAACCCACTGCTTGCGTCAGGGCTGAGTGGTCTTGGGCGGAGTGATGTTTTTAGGAAGCTATGCACAGCACCCTGCTGGCACCTCCTACCATGCCTGATCTGCCTGTGTTACATACAGAAAAACAGAGACCCAATGATGACATCACTGTGCAGGGGCGTCCCCAGGCCGGGTGCCACCTGGAGCAGAGACCGGGTGACACCCCGCCGCGACTTCATTGCCCATGCGCGGCCGTCTAATTGACGCCTTCCGGCGGCCATCTTTGTGATCGGCCCCTCCTCTCTCCCGACACTGTCGGGCTCTCGGTCCATGAACGAGTGCCCAACTTTTTAGAGGGGGTGACACCAAAATGACTGTCAGTCATTTTGGTGTCACCCCTCCAATGGTTGTAAAGGATGGACATCGGCACTCCAAAGCAAGTTCAGTACGTGTTTATTAACGTACTAGTTGCAAGTAGAACACTTTGAACTTGCTTTGGAGTGCCGGTGTCCATCCTTTACTGATATTTTGTCGAAAGCCACCCGCTGACACCTGCTGCACCCACCCTCCATTTTTGGAGCAGCGGCTCTGAGTGAGATGGGTACACAGACTGTACCCTTCCAATGGTGTCACCCGGGCGCGGGCCGCACCCCCCTTGTGACGCCACTGTCACTGTGTCAAAAGTAAGGAATGTAATGAAAACGTTTCTTCCCTTCATGTTGATTGGGGAGGAATTAGGTAAGGCAAATATAAGCAGATTAAAAGTCAGTATAGCTCATACTTCACCAGGTTTTCTGGATGGAATTAGCAGTCACTGAATGATTTCACCATTGCCTGCAGCAGCTTTATGTTTGTTCATGTCTCTCCTTTCACCTAACATATTTGGGTAATTATCTGCCAGTATACCATATCTCTTCTTCTGTATGTGTGAAATCATCACATGTATGAATATGATCAGGGTGTCTCTCCCATAGATCACATACTTTCTTCCTTACACCAGCATTCTCCAGTCAGGTCTGATAGAGGAGATATATTTTTAATGTGGGTGAGGAAAACAGGAAGCTTGATAACACATGAAACGCAAAGCATATGTGCTCATCCTAGCCACTCACCGCTCTGCATCAGGGGTGAAGGTGTAAACTAAGAACAGTGTGGATTCATTGGGTGCAAAAAGTGAATGCAATGCTCTAACTTTGCAAATAAAAATGTGTAAAGGGTATCTACGGTGAAAAGCTAAAAAGAAATCTGTATTTCTATATTGCATTTCCATAAGTTCTCTTCCACTCCTAATAACTATATCACGTATGGGCCCTCTTACACCTCACAAGTCTGCCTTTGGTTTGGGAACACAGGTTGGGTGTAAAGTAAGGTGAGCGTTGGCCATAATAACTTCTTACAGGAACTTCTTACAGCTGGTTACACCTTACAGGTTACAGCTGAACTCCGGGAAAGAAAATAAAAAATAACAGACCAGTAAAAGTGCAAAGGGAGGTGCATAGCAAGGTCTGGGGAGGGGGGGGTCTTTGTAGGGTAGAGTTCTGCTTTAACTTCAATTGCCTCCTCCCCAGCAACACACTCTAAGCTGT